TTCCATACCCTTAGGATATGGTGACCCCCTGCTGGTTACTCACAAAAAAGACATTCAAATCAATGAAATTCAATCCCTTCTTTTATTACACTCCACTTTGGAGTTTTGTGGCGTTTATTAGGTTTTTTTTCCTACTTTTCACATTGGTTCCCACATTTTTAGGCAGGGTGGGATTGTTGGGGTGTCCTGTGCAAGGCTGGGAGTTGAACTTACGGGTCCCTTCCAGCTCAGGATATTCAGTGATTCTATGATTTTAGTGGCTTGACAAACATTTTATTCTGGAGTATTCCATAAAAAAACGATGGGAAGGGGTTGGATTTCCATTGCAGCTAGGCCAGCCGGGGCAGTGCTGTGGCAGTGTCACACACTGTGCCTTCCCCAGGTATTTAAGGTCCCTTTTATTGCTTGGAGAATCTGTCGAGCTGCAGTGATGAGAAAACTGTGTTTGGTTTTGCTTTTTCCAGGTGATGGCAGCAGTTCCTCCTTTTCCCTTCTCCTCTCCTCAAAACAGGAATCTAAAAAAAACCCCTGTTTTTGCTTTTTTCTCTCAGCTCTGTGAGTGTTTGTAGAGCACCAGTTCCAGGGGTTGTAGGGAATTGTGTGGAGTGGGTAACAGTGACATTGATGGTTTAATGCCAGGGAGAGGGGAGAATCCAGGCAGTAAATGGCTGTGGATTGTGATTTCCTCAAGGAAAGTCCTGCACAAATTACTCACAATTCCAACACACAGCACAGCTTTCCCTGGCACAGGACAGGGATGTGTCCTGATATGGCTCCTGGATCCCTCACTTCTGCTCCTGTGAGATCTGTTCCCTTACTTTGAGTCCCCAGCCCAGCAAGGACATGGAGCTGCTGGAGAGAGGCCAGAGCAGGAACCAAGAGGATGCCAGGGCTGGAGCAGCTCTGCTGGGAGGAAAGGCTGGGAGAGCTGGGATTGTTCAGCCTGGAGAGGAGAAGCTTTGGGGGGAACTGATTGTGGCCTTGCAGGGTCTGAAGGGGCTCCAGGAAAGATGGAGAGAGACTATTTCCAAGGGCTGGAGGGACAGGACAAGGGGTAATGGCTTCAAACTGCCAGAGGGCAGGGAGAGATGGGATATTGGGAAAGAATTCCTGGCTGGGAGGGTGGGGAGGCCCTGGCCCAGGGTGCCCAGAGAAGCTGTGGCTGCCCCTGGATCCCTGCAAGTGTCCAAGGCCAGGTTGGACGGGGCTTGGAGCAACCTGGGCTGGTGGAAGGTGTCCCTGCCCATGGCAGGGGTGGCACTGGATGGGCTTTGAGGTCCCTCCCAACCCAAACTCTTCTGGGATATTGTGATACTTATTGGGTGTCTCAGAAGGGGTTCCTGGGCCCTTGGCTACCCTTCACTGGTAGTGCTGTTTCTCCAAAGAAAGGAAAGGTAGGAAGCTTTATTGTTGTTCTCCCCTGACTGAAAAAAAGACTTCAGTCTTCACTCTTTTGTCCAAAGAAGGGCAATGGAGCTGGGGAAGGGTCTGAGGAACATGTCCTGTGAGGAGCAGCTGAGGGAGCTGGGGGGGTTTATCTGGAGAAGAGGAGGCTCAGGGGGGACCTCATTGCTCTCCCCAACTCCCTGACAGGAGGGGGCAGGGAGGGGGGTCGGGCTCTGCTGCCATGTCCAAGGGAAAGGAGGAGAGGGAATGGCCTCAAACTGCACCAGGGCCGGTTCAGGTTGGAGATTAGAAACACTTTTTCCCTGTCAGAGTGGTCAGGCCTTGGAATAAGTGTCCCAGGGAGGTGGTGGAGTCCCTGTGTCTGGGAGTGTTCCAGAGGTGTCTGGATGTGGCCCTTGGGGACGTGGATTGGGGGTGATCCTGGTGGTGCTGGGGTGGGACTGGGAGATCCTGGAGGGCTCTCCCAGCCTTGTTTCTGTCATTCTGTCACCAGGGTGCGTGATTTAAAATCCTCAGAGGATTCCTCTTGCTTTTGCAGGGCTACTGCAGGCCAAGGCCTTGGGGCTGCAGGTGTTCCATGGTGGCACAGCGCTGAGGGATGGCAGGGTGGTGACGAGTGGTGGCAGAGTGCTCTCCATCACTGCTGTCCGGGAGGACCTGCTGGAAGCCCTGGGAGAAGCCAACAGGGGCGTGGCCACCATCCACTTCCAGGGAGCCACGTACAGGAGGGACGTCGGCCAGCGGGGCCTGCGGCTGCTCCGACAGCCCCTGTATGTAAGAAAGGCCCTGGCACGGCTGTGCCAGCCCAGGTGTTGGTGTCTGTTGTTCCTCTGTGGGATGGCCCTTGCAGAAAATGTCCCTGCTGCTGCCAGCACGTCCCTTCCTCCCCACAGGGCCCTGATGTACAAAGAGAGACGGGTGGAAGCCGCAGCCAGGGACGTTCTGTTTCACCTGCCACAAACATCAGTTGTGAGTGGTACCAGATCAGGTAAGACTGGGGAGAATATTTGAATTTCCTCAGTATATTGGATGAAACAGCATTTTTTTTCTCCCCAGGAAGTGAGCAGTGCATTCGTGGCATTGAACTTGAGCTGGGGAAGCTGGGCTGGGGTCACCACAAAGAAACAAAACTCTCCTTTCTTTCTTGTCACTCCTCTGATGATTAATTAAAAAATACTTGGCTTCCCCTGGAGGTGATCGTGCTTTGTCAAGGTGCAGAACAGAAAAGAATAGAATAGAAATAACAGAATAAATAAATAAATAAATAATAGTTTAAAAAAAAAAAAAACTGGAGAAAAGGAGGCTCAGGGGGGACCTTCTGGCTCTGCAACCCCCTGACAGGGGGGGGGAGCCGGGGGGGGTCGGGCTCTGCTGCCAGGGAACAAGGGACAGGAGGAGAGGGAACGGCCTACAGCTGTGCCAGGGGAGGCTCAGGTTGGCAAGGAGGAGGAATTTCCTGCTGGAAAGGGTGGTGAGGCCTTGGCAGGGGCTGCCCAGGGAGGTTTGGAGTGCCCAGCCCTGGAGGTGTCCCAGGAAGGCCTGGCCGTGGCACTCAGTGCTCTGGGCTGGGGGACAAGGTGGGGATGGGGCACAGGGGGGATCCATGGGCTGGGAGGGCTTTTCCAGCCCCAGTGATTCTGGGATTCTGTGCTATTTTGCAGTTCTTGTCTTCATGAGGGTCTTGGGTTTTTTTATTTGCTGTGGAAATGATCCTTGGTGTGTTTGCACTCGGCAGGCAGTCGCCCAGAACTGGGAGGCTTTGCTGGTTTCTTTGACTTGAAGACATCTGGTTATGAGGATCCCATCCTGGTGTGTCAAACTAAAGGCCTTGGAGCTAAACTGCAGGTAACTTGCAACTGAGCTGTGGCAAATCTGGTGTTACCTCCCAAGGCTTTTAAGTGCCACTGCCAGTCACACCATCTGCACCCTCCTGAGCACCATAAATACACCTGAGCCCACTGCAGTGGGCATCTCAACTTTGGAGATGATCATTTGAGCAAGGCCTGTCACTGAGAATGTGGATATTTTGTGATGAAATGCTAATAAACCAAAAATTTAGGTGAGCATTGAGGCACTAAGAACCAGAATTTCTGTCCTTTGGCTTTGAGAGAGAGGGAGGGTTGAAATGAGAACTGTCAGACTCAGCTCAGCAAACTGTTTGTGGAGAGGGAGCACAGTCACCTCTCCCTGGTAACTGTCAGGGCACTGGGGAAAGGAAGGATGGAGGAAATAAACATTAAAGGGGAATAGAAGCCAAGAGATAAAGAGTTTTAATTACCCAAGAACACGCAGGATAAATTGAGCCAGGGATATATTTATATATTGGATCAGGATAAGTTGAGCAAGGGATCTATTTTATATATTGGATCAGGATACGTTGAGCCAAGGATATCTTTATATGTTGAACCAGAAGGTTTTCAGCCACCAGAAAAGTGGAGACCTGAAGCTCCTTTCACTGGTCAAGCACAGCAACATCACATGTTTGAAGCTGCTGCTTGTACCTTTAATAACAGGATGATAAACAGGAGACTGCAGGGAATCATCCAGAAGGTCTTTTGCAGTCTTACATCCTTGGGCACCTCTGAGCATGAAAAAGGGATTGGTACTGGCTCTTGTGAGTCTTTGTTCCAACTGCTTGGCAGAGAGACATTCCCAACTGTGTTTCCACAGGCTGTTCCCAAGATTCTTCCTTGGCCAAAAAAAAGTTGGCCAATGGCTTTAGGAATTGTTCCTGGAGCAGTGGGAGGGAGGTGTTGTAATGCACCAAAGGGTGAGTGGTTTCCATAGCACTCCTAAATCCAGCAGCCAGGGAGATCAGCCAGGCCTGTAATCCCAGCCCAGCCTTCGTTCAGGCCCTGCTCTGTCCCCACTGATGTTGAGGTGTGTCTGTCCCTTGTCCATCTGCCTGTCCGGGGCTTTTCTGCACAGGGAAAACCAGCTTTCCTGAGGGAGATGTTTGTGCTTTGGGAAACACCTTCCAGGGCCTAAAGGGGCTCCAGGAGAGCTGGAGAGGGACTTTGGATGAGGGCCTGCAGGGACAGGACACAGGGAATGGCTTCCCACTGCCAGAGGGCAGGGATAGATGGGATATGGGGAAGGAATTGTTGGCTGGGAGGGTGGGGAGGCCCCAGAATGGATTTCCCAGAGGATGCCCCATCCCTGGAAGTGTCCAAGGCCAGGTTGGATAAACTTGGAGCAACCTGGGCTGGTGGAAGGTGTCCCTGCCCATGGCAGGGGGTGGCACTGGATGGGCTTTAAGGCCCTTCCCAACCCACACCATTCCATGAGTCCACGATAATGTTCCAAAAAGCAAACAAAAAAAACCCCAACCCAAAATGACGATTTCTGGGTAGCTGGAGCCAGAATTTGAATCAATGTTTAAAAAACCAAACCAGTTTTTCTCTGCCAGAAGCTGAGCAGTTTTCTCTTGGTTCGAGCCGGGTGATGCACCAGGGCCTCTCCTGCACTGTGTTCTGAGTGATTCCTGTCAGAGACAGGAGGGGTTCTGCTCGTGTGCCTGGTTGATGTGTGAGTTCTGCCTGTTCCTCCTCCCCACCGTGTTTTGCAGATGGCACAAGCCTGTAGGAGACACACCACCCTCGGGCAGGACCTGGTGGCCCTGTGTGTCAATGCCCTGCTGCCCCACGGAGCAGAGCCCCTCTTCTTCCTCAGTTATTTTGCCTGTGGCAAACTTGATGCTGAAGTGACTGAGACGATCCAAGAAGGAATAGCTGAAGCCTGCAGGAGTGCAGGATGTGCTTTCCTGGGTAGGAACACTCCTCTCCTCTGGGATTTGAACACTGAGGTTGAAATTATCACCAGAGAAACGGACTCTGGAGGCAGAGGTAGCACGTGGCACTAGAATTGTTGGGTTCTGTTTGGTGCATAAACAGTTGAGCTTTTGTGCTTAAATTCTTTCTTATTTGTAAAAGGGTCAGCACAGAGGGATGGTTTTCACTATTTCTGCATTTGGACCCCAATTCTTATTCCTTTATCCTTGTAAAAAGCAGAACAGAACTGGAGGCTTCACGTTCTTCAAGTGTTAATGTTCTCATTCCCTCTCTGATACTCAATCCTAACCAGGAGGTGCCACATAAGTACACAAAATAATAATAAAAAAAATGTTTCTTCTTTCCTGGAGTTTTGTTGGAGTCTTGAGGTGAAGTAAGAAACCAAGAAGGATTTTTAAAATATATCTGAAAGTGCTTCTTTGGCTGTGTGTCCTGTGGCTCTCCTGGATATCCTGGTGCTTTAGGAGATGCCAGGAATTTAAAATGGTCTTAAAATAATGGCCTTAAGCTGAAGGAGGGCAGGGTTACATGGGATTTTAGAAAGGAATTCTTCCTCTGAGGGTGGTGAGGGACTGGAATGGAATTCCCAGAGAAGCTGTGGCTGCCCCTGGATCCCTGGAAGTGTCCAAGGCCAGGTTGGATGGGGCTTGGAGCAACCTGGGCTGGTGGAAGGTGTCCCTGCCCATGGCAGGGGTGGGACTGGATGGGCTTTGAGGTCCCTCCAACCCAACCCCTCCCGTGGTTCTCTGACCGTGACACGAACACCCCGTGTTCCCGGTGCTGACCCCTCTCTCCGCAGGGCAGGCGCTGTCCCAGCTCCCGGGCGCGTGTTCCGCGGGGGACTCGGACCTGGCCGGCTTCGTGGTGGGCGCGGTGGAGCGAGGGCAGGTGCCCCTGGGGCTGCAGAGAGCCGAGGAGGGGGATGTGCTCCTGGGACTGGCCTGCCCCGGGATCCACGGCCGCGGCTTCGGCGCCGTCCGGAAGGTTCTGCTCGTGTCCTCCCTGCGCTGCTCGTCCCCCGCCCCTGGCACCTGCGGGGACACCACGCTGGGTACGACTGTCTGCTCGGGCACTGCCGTGGCCAGGGGCTGCCAGGGGGGCTGGCAGCAGGGGGGGCTAATCCGTCCTTGGGGTTGGCATGGGGGCTTGTGTCCAGGTTTGGAAGAGCGGGCCAGCACTTCCTCCTACTTCCCAGCTTTGCCACAAGGAGTGGGAGAGAACCTGTTCAGAGGAGCCCTTCCAAAAATAACCTTGTGACCTTTTGCATAAATTGATTGAGTTCAGCCTGGAGAAGAGAAGCCTCTGAGGAGACCTTAGAGCCCCTTCCAGTGCCTAAAGGGGATTATGAAAAGGAGGGAGAGGGACTATTTATATGGCCAGAGAGTGACAGCATGAGGGGGAATGGTTTCAAACTGCCAGAGGACAGGGTGAGATGGGACATTGGGAAGGAATTGCTGGCTGGGAGGGTGGGGAGGCCCTGGCCCAGGTTGCCCAGAGAAGCTGTGGCTGCCCCTGGATCCCTGGAAGTGTCCAAGGCCAGGTTGGACGGGGCTTGGAGCAACCTGGGCTGGTGGAAGGTGTCCCTGCCCATGGCAGGGGTGGCACTGGATGGGCTTTAAGGTCCCTCCCAACCCAGACCAGTCTGGGACTTTATGATTCCAACCAGCTGCAGATTTCAAACCAGGGGGCTGAGCTGACCCTGTTGTCTGCAGGAGAGGCCCTGCTGAGCCCAGCCAGGCTGTACAGCCCAGCCCTGCTGCCCGTGCTGCGCTCGGGCCACGTGAAGGCCTTTGCCCCCATTGCTGAGGAGGGGCTGCTGGGGGGCATCTCCAGGGTCCTGCCGGAGCACGTCGGCGCCGTGCTGGGTGAGTATCAGAGCTCACTGTGCCTGTGGGGCAGGACAAGGGTGTTATGACCCGCCCCAGGAAAAGGGGGAGGGGGGGTAACTCAGGTTTTTATCAATAATTCCCTTGGGGTGGATTAAAGCGAAACGACACTAAATAACCGGTGTCTGAAAACATATTAGCAAGGTTTATTTTAACAATTTTGAATCAATAGGTAAGTTAACATTTTTGGGTGCTGTCGTAACCTTTTTGGGGAGGAGAAAAATGCATAGGGGAGAGAAAGGCAGGATAAGAGCAAGGGAGAGTAAGGGAAAGAAAAGAGGAGTGGACAGATGTCCATGGTCACTGCCCACGGGGTCCAGCGATGCTTCCATGTCTGTCAGTTGAAGTGGTGGCCTTGATCTGCTGGGGGTGAAGGAGGGAAGCCCCCATACTCCAAGAAGTTATGAGTTCTAGCCATGGTTAGTGTCACGGGCCACGCCTCGAGCCTCCAACATCTCCTAGGTCTGTGTGCTGAGGTTTTTTTGTGTCTCGCCTGGTTCCCGCCTTTCAAGATTAGCAGAGGGAGGGAGGGGCCTGATTGCTCATCAAATGTACCAACAGTCAAAAGCCTGCAAGCTCAGCTCTTGGCCTTTTCAGGGCTTCACACCTTCAGCACTGGAGGGAGGGAGGGGCCTGATTGCTCGTCAGATGTGCCAACAGTCAAAAGCCTGCAAGCTCAGCTCTTATCTTTTCAGGACTTCACACCTTCAGCACTGGAGGGAGGGAGGGGCCTGATTGCTCATCAAATGTACCAACAGTCAAAAGCCTGCAAGCTCAGCTCTTGGCCTTTTCAGGGCTTCACACCTTCAGCACTGGAGGGAGGGAGGGGCCTGATTGCTCGTCAGATGTGCCAACAGTCAAAAGCCTGCAAGCTCAGCTCTTATCTTTTCAGGACTTCACACCTTCAGCACTGGAGGGAGGGAGGGGCCTGATTGCTCATCAAATGTATCAATAGTCAAAAGCCTGCAAGCTCAGCTCTTATCTTTTCAGGACTTCACACCTTCAGCACTGGAGGGAGGGAGGGGCCCGACTGCTCATCAGAGGTATCATGCAAGTCAAAAGCCTGCAAAAGTCTCCTAAAATGCATAAATCATTAACCATTTCAGTCTCTGACAAAGGGCTTGACTCTTCAGCTTCAGCTGTACAGACACTCAGAAACGTCTCTGTCTGAAGAGCTGGGCTGGAATGACCCCAAGTCAGTGCTTTTCCAAAGGTCCCACCAAATTCATTCCTGTTTCAAGTGGCATCAGCTCGTGAGCACCGCTCTTGTTGGAGAAGGGACATTTCAGAGGAGTTAGAAGGCAGCACATCTCTAGGACAAGGGGTGCTGGAGAAGATGGTGTGTTCCACAGGGCACCTCCACACTGAACCTTGTGACCAAACAGTGAGGCTTGTTGGGGGCAGTCATTTGCACCGTTTGCTCCACGGTGCCTGTGCACACACACGCTTAGTGCAGCTTTTTGGGAGGCAGCAGCTTCCCCACAACAGCATCTGACATCCCTAAGTAAGGCAGAACTTCTTCTGTTGAAGCCAAAATTGGGCAAAGTATTCAGAAGTTCAAAACAGTAAAGAAAACCATGTTCATGTGAGTCCTAAAACACTGTGGGGATGGGGAGGGGGAGGGGAGGTGTCTGTGGGTCTGACTGGATTTCTCTAGAATGAAATTAGAAAGAATTTTCAAGGCCAGGTTGGACGGGACTTGGAGCACCCTGGGCTGGTGGAAGGTGTCCCTGCCCATGGCAGGGGGTGGGATGGATGGGCTTTAAGGTCCCTCCCAACCCAAACCATTCAGGTTGGACATCAGGAGGAATTTGTTGCTGGAAAGGGTGGTGAGGCCTTGGCAGGGGCTGCCCAGGGAGGTTTGGAGTGCCCAGCCCTGGAGGTGTCCCAGGAAGGCCTGGCCGTGGCACTCAGTGCTCTGGGCTGGGGGACAAGGTGGGGATGGGGCACGGGATGGGCTGGGAGGGCTTTTCCAGCCTCAGGGATCCTGGGACTCTGTTATAGCAAGAATTAGTCTCTCAGCTCTTGCAACACCCCACTGTCCTGGCAGATAATGAATAATAACTCCTGGCAGATGTTTGTGCTGATGACACACAACTGTCAATCGTTTTCAGACGCTCTCAGCTGGAAGATCCCTGAAATCTTCTGCTGGCTTTACAAGGAGGGGAACCTCTCTGCAGAGGAGATGGCCCAGACCTTTCCCTGTGGGCTCGGGGCGGTGCTGGTGGTGCAGCAGGACCTGGCCCAGCACGTCCTGGGGGCCATCCGGAGGCGGGAGGAAGCTTGGCTCATCGGGAAGGTGCTTGCCCCGTGTCACACAGGTTAGCAGGGTCCTCGTGGGAAGCAAAGCCCCAGAAATGACCCAGAGCGTGGTTTGCTCTCCCTTCAGTGGGGTTTGCACTTAGGGATGTGTTGTTTGGTTTTAAAGTGGAGACAGGGTGAGTTGTTTTGGAGGGTGATTCTGGGAAGTGCTGAGCGTGTCCTGGGAGCCATCAGGTGCCTGCAGCTCTGGAGGCCCTGAGACTCCCCATTGCAAAAGTTGTGTGGTTCACATCTTTTCCCCCTTGTTTCACCAGGCTGGAGGCTCTTTGACACCTCCACATCCACATTCCCTTATCAAATAGTGAGGAGTGAATGTTGCTTCAGAGTGACAGTACCTGGATAACCTGTTACCCAGGTATCTTCTGGAGGCTCCAGTAAATCCCTCAAATATCAGCTGATGTTTTACCACAATCCTGGTAATCAACTCATCTCCTTCCCAGCCCACACAGATCCATGTAAAGGCTGAGGATCTGTGCATCTGATGAGCTGTGGATGGTCTGTGTGATGGTAGGGCTGAAGGTGTGTCCATTGACTGACATCCAGCCAAAATCCCCTCTGGAAACCAAACACTTTGGGCAGCCAAAATGTCACCTCAGCTCCATCAACATGGGTTTTAGTGTCATTTTGCAACATGAGAGGAAGAGGAAGGTGGGAATAACAGATGGGGCTAAGCCTCGAGGAGGCCAGGCCATGCCCAGGCCCTTTGAACACCTCTGGGAGTGAGTAACACAAAAGGGATCAGCACAACCCCTGTGAGCTGGGCTGGTCAAGCAGTGAGTGCCTTTGTAGTCCCACCAGTGCCAGCAGAAACTCGTTGCTGATGCACCTTCTTGTCGTTGAAACTTATTGTTAATAAACCATATTCAAGTTTGTAAGTTCAACAGGGTCAGTTCAGAGGGCAAAGTCACGTCTAACGCTCTCCTCCTGTCTTTGGAGGAGGTTCCCACATCCAAGTGGAGAACCTGGTGGAGGCCCTGCAGCAGAGCAGCCCCCAGGGCCTGCTGGGTGACACCACCATGGAGCCTCGGCACCAGCCCAGGAGGAGAAAGGTGAAGGTGGCAGTTCTCGTCTCTGGAACAGGTGAGCTCCCATTGTCCTGGCACAGGGAAATGTCCTGGCACAGGAGAGCTTGGACTCAGCCCTGACCCAGGTGCATCCGCCTTGGCTTTCCTTCAGAGAGTCTACAGACCTTCTGAAGCCAGGCTTGCACTTTGACCAGAGTCCAGGAGGTGTGTTGTGCTGCTTAAAGGAGCTGTGTCAGTGCTCCAATTCCTTTGTGCTGTTTGGACAGTTGTGAAAAACCAGATTTTTGTTGGATGAGCAGGGCTGGGAGCTCGTCCCAGTGCCCGGGGGCTCATGTGTGTCCCCGTGTTTGCTCTGTGTGTCTGAGGCACGACCCTCCCCGCGCTCATCGCTTACACCAGGGAGCCAGGCAGCTGTGCCCAGCTCGTCCTTGTCATCTCCAACAAGTCTGGCGTGGAAGAACTGCGGAATGCAGCCCGGGCTGGAATTCCCACCAGGGTAAAGACACCTGTTTCCTTTCCTTTTTCTCCCCAGCTCCCGACCCCGGAGCAGTTCAGGAAGCGCCTGTGAGCAGTCAGGGGGCACTGCTGGGGAGAACCTTCCCCGTGGGTCAGAGCATGGAGACACAGCTGGTAGAGCTGGAAGGAGAGGCAGGGCTGGGAGTCCTCACAGGGGCCTGGGAGTCCTCACAGGGGCCTGGGAGTCCTTCCCAGCTCGTCAGGGAGGGAAACAGCCCAGAGTTAGGAAGGGATTTAAACTGCTGGTTTGGGTCTGAGATTGCAGCCCATGAGCTTCAACCTTTGGCTGAAATCAGTGAGACTTCAGGTTCTGCAAAACACATGAACTTATCCCCTGGGCTTATCCCTTCTCAGAATCATAAAATCCCAGACTGGTCTGGGTTGGGAGGGACCTTAAAAATCATCCAGTGCCACCCCCTGCCATGGGCAGGGACACCTTCCACCAGCCCAGGTTGCTCCAACCTGGCCTTGGACACTTCCAGGGATCCAGGGGCAGCCACAACTTCTCTGGGAAACCTGGGCCAGGGCCTCCCCACCCTCCCAGCCAGGAATTCCTTCCCAATATCCCATCTATCCCTGCCCTCTGGCAGTGGGAAGCCATTCCCATTTTCCTGTCCCTCCAGGCCCTTGTTTAAAGTCCATCCAAGTCCCTCTCCAGGTCTCTTCAGACACTGGAAGGGGCTCTGAGGTCTCCCCAGAACCTTCTCTTCTCCAGAGTGAAAACCTGTGTCTCATGTTGTGCTGAATAATCCCACAATCATCAAGGCTGGGAGAGACCTCCAGGATCATCCAGTCCCACCCCAGCAGGATCACCCCCAATCCATGTCCCCAAGGGCCACATCCAGACACCTCTGGGACACTCCCAGACACAGGGACTCCTCCACCTCCCTGGGACACTTATTCCAAGGCCTGATCATTCCTGCAGGGAAAAATTGTTTCTAATCTCTGATCTGAACCTGCCCTGGGGCAATTTTAGGCCATTTCCTCTCCTCCTCTCCCTTGGGACGTGAAGGAGTGTGGCCCCCACCTCACTCATGGAGTGCCCTGGAATGAATCCAGTTTGTTCCTCTTTGCTGCCCAGGTTGTTGCCCTCAATCCCACCCAGCTGTTCCCATGAATGGTTTTGCTGTTGGAATGTTCCAGGTGATTGACCACAAGTTGTACGGGAGTCGCTCGGAGTTCGACAGCACAATCGACCGAGTGCTGGAGGAGTTTGCTGTGGAGCTGGTCTGTCTGTCAGGATTTATGAGGGTTTTGTCCAGCCCTTTCCTCCGAAAATGGAAAGGTAAGAAACTGTAAGTGTAGAAGGGAACCCATACAGGGATGGTTGGTCTCACCAGGACTCCCCTGCCGGAGTTCTGTCCTTTGGTTAATCCCTCAGCCTCGCTGGCTCTGAGGACATTCCAGCAGGGGGGCTGCCCTGTGCTTCCAGTCCTTCTGGCAGTGGGATCCTGGCTGTGGATTGGCACAGAAACCCCTTGTGCTGCATCAGGAGTGACATGGGGCAGAGACAGGGCACGGACTGGCTCTGCTGCCTCCCCTGGGAAGGGCTTTGATCCCACCCTCTGCCAAGGAGCTCTGCTGGGGGGTCCTGCTGAACTCACTCCCTGCAGTTTCCTGTTAGAAAAAATGGGAGAGAAACTGATTTCTCCTGGAAGAGCAGAATTCCCTCAGACCAGGCCAGAGGTGCTCAGAGCTGTTTGGAACCACTGATCTCATCTCACTTATATTTTTTAAGGAAATTCAGTTCAAATTATCATTTCTTCTCTTTTTTTTTTTTTTTTTAACTCCTCTCTAATGTCCAGGGAAAATTTTGAATGCTTCTCCCTCACTTTTTCCACTCATCAAGGATGGAAATGCCCCTCAGGAGCCCCCACAAAGTGGATTCAAGGTCACAGGCTGCACCGTGCATTTTGTCCTGGTGAGTGTCTTTAGGAAAAGGAATTGGCTTTTTTCTTTCCTTTCTGAAGGCAGAGGCAGGCAGAGGGAGCAGGGAGGTGTGGGAACCTTGGGGTTGTTACCAGTAAAAGGTGTGGGGTTGTGTTGTATTTGGGGTCCCCTTTTCTTCCTTTGTATTTTGGGGTGATTTTTGCAGTTTCTCCCACTCTCAGCACTGGCCCGGAGCCTGCCATCCCTGATGTCCCCCTGGGGTCACCGAGGTGTCTGTTGGGCAGGGGGCACCTCTCCAGCCTGCCATCCCACGTCCCTCCCTGATGTCCCCCGGGGTCACAGAGGTGTCCCTTGGGCAGGTGGTCCCTCTCCAGGTGCACTCTGAGCCTCCTGCCCACGACCACCCGTGTGCCCACCGAGATCTCTGCCCCGTCAGCATCACCCAGAACCTCCCTGAGCCGCTCAGCACCCCCTCTAAGCCCCCACCTGTCCCATTCCAGGAGGACTCCGGCGCCAGGGCCGTGATCCACCGGGAGCCCATCCCCGTGCGGGCGGAGGACACGGAGCAGGCGCTGGCGGAGCGGGTGAAGGAGGCCGAGTGCCGCGCCTTCCCCGTGGCCCTGCAGCTCGTGGCCAGCGGGGCCGTGAGCCTGGGAGCCGATGGAAGAACCTCCTGGAAGCAGGAGAGCCAAAGTCTGGGACTGCACGGGGAGAAGGGAGACTGCACGTCCTCCCTTGTGGCTCCGGAGCCTCCGGAACACGGTGGGGAGTAGGCGGGTAACGAGGGGCTCGTTCGTGCTCACCTTCCCTCCCCCTCCTCCTCCCTGTGCTGCTCTCTGATGTGTCCATGGCTCAGGTTTCCACTCCCAGCCTTTTCCCTCAGCTCACAACTTTCCTTACACTCCTCTCGGAAAACCGGCGGTGGAAGCCCAGCTGTGCTTTCAGATTTGGAATTTCTTGGTTCTGTTCCTTGGTCTGTGAAGGACATAACGAGTCCCAGGGATGGCTCCGGCTGTGGAACTGCTCCGCTGCTCCCGAGGGAAAGTCTTTCTTCCAAGGGATCCGTTTTTGTGGCTGCACCACACAGCAGAGCCCTGGGAGCTTCCCAAAACAACCCCAGACAGGGACTGGGGAGAGCCCTGGGAGCTTCCCAAAACAACCCCAGACAGGGACTGTGCTGCTCTCAGAGCAGGAGGAGAAAGATGTGGAGCTGCTGGAGAGAGTCCAGAGGAGGCCACGGGGATGCTCCCAAGGCTGGAACCCCTCTGCTCTGGAGCCAGGCTGGGAGAGCTGGGGGGGCTCACCTGGAGAAGAGAAGGCTCCAGGGAGAGCTGAGAGCCCCTTGCAGGGCCTAAAGGGGCTCCAGGAGAGCTGGAGAGGGACTGGGGACAAGGGATGGAGGGACAGGACACAGGGAATGGCTTCCCAGCAGGGAGAGATGGGATATTGGGAAGGAATTGCTGGCTGGGAGGGTGGGGAGGCCCTGGCACCCAAACCATTCCATGATTCTCGGTGTGTCTGCCAGAATTGTGACCTTCGTGCAAGTAACAAATCAGGAAGAAAGCCAGAAAAGCCAAAACAGAAATGAAGTAGCCAGAGATGAATTTTCCAGAGGAGGGATCAACAAGAGCCATTTGATGCAGTGGGAAAAATCTATTCCTGTTCTGTGGTGTGTCCTGGAAGGGCCCTGCTGTGTCCGTGCTCTTGGGCTCTGTGGGAGCAGAATCAGCTCCAGTTCCAAAGGCTGAATTTTTCCCTTTTTTTATTCTGTGTGGTGGCTTTACTGTGGCACGTGGGGTTTAATACTCAGGGAGGGGAGGAGTTCAGTTCCCTCCTGTAAACTGCCATTCCTGGACAGAGATCTGGATCTGTCCCTTGCACTGCAACGACTGGAGCAAGGAAGGTGCATTTTTCAGGAGCTGGGAGAAATAGGAAGAACTGCACCCAGGCAAGGTTATGGAATATTTGGTATAGAAAACTTCTGTGATCAAAGCACTGCTTGGTTTGTGTTGGGTCTGTTGTAACTGTGGAGTAGCTTCCTGCTGTACTTCATTGGAATTGCATGGCTGTTCCAAAGCAACAAATAAAGTGTTAAAAGAGAAGAGGGTGCTGGGTGTGCTCTGCTGGGTCTCCAGCTGATCCCATGGTCGAAAAGCTCGGATTTCTCTGTGTTCCTCCCTCCCCTCTGGGGTTGGGTCTGGTGAGAGTTTACTTACCAGGTTGTTCTTTTTCCAGAGGGGAAAGTGAACAAAGATCCAGCTCACTGGGAAATTCCTTTTTAGGCATTTGTAGAAATACAGAGAGGTCAGAGGGGCTTTGGACAAGGGATGGAGTGACAAGACAAGGGGAGTGTCTTCCCAGTGCCAGAGGGCAGGGATAGATGGGATATTGGGAAGGAATTCCTGGCTGGGAGGGTGGTCAGGCCCTGGCCCAGGTTGCCCAGAGAAGCTGTGGCTGCCCCTGGATCCCTGGAAGTGTCCAAGGCCAGGTTGGACGGGGCTTGGAGCAACCTGGGCTGGTGGAAGGTGTCCCTGCCCATGGCGGGGGTGGCACTGGATGGTTTTTAAGGTCCCTTCCAACCCCAACCAGTCTGGAATTCCATGAAATCCTTTACCAGCAGCCTTAGGTGGCAAAATACCTGTCTGGATCAGTGTGCCTGTGAGGCAGTGGGGTGTTGGATTGTATTGGATTGGGGGTGATGGATTTGGGGGTATTGGATTTGGGGTGATGGATTTGGGGGTGATGGATTGGGGGGTGACAGATTGGGGGGTGATGCAGAGGGGTGCTGGATTTGGAGCCTCTGTGTGTCCTGCCTTTCTGGCAGTGACCCAACTGCTCTGATCAATAATGTGATGCTTATTTAACATGCTATTTATTCACTGCACAGTAGTGATTTCACCCCTCCAAGCCTCTGTTTCTCCTGACTCCCCTGCCTGGAGCAGCACCGAGGCTGTGTGACCTCCCCTGCCCTGCTTCCAAGAACATCCCCTTTCCCAAACTCCTCCAGCTTCCTGGTAAAGGAATTCCAAGGAAATAGTTTTAGATTGATTTTTTTTTTTTTACCTTATTAGACTTTATTTCAAATCCAAAGGAGATTATGCCAACATGGAAGTACCATCAGGACATGAGAGCCCAGAATAAAATCAGCTTTCTCTGTATTAAGGGGGAGCTGTAAAGCACATCCTCAGCTCCCTCTCCTCTGTGGGAGGGAAGCCTGATTCCTTGAGTGAGTACATTAAAATGGTTCCACAGCTGTACTAAAATATTAAAAGAAAACTACAGGTGCTGAGCTGCACAAAGACCTGGATTGTTTTCCCATGTTCACAGTCACTGGGTGTCCATCAGAGCCACTCCAGGTGGAAACACTGCTCCAAGAATAAAGGCACTCCAGAATTCCTGAGGAATGTCTCACAAGCCAAGGACAAGTTTTGTGTCAGGTCTTTCTGCTCATTTTAAAAACCCAGAAACCCGACTGTTCTGGTGCTGGACAAATCTCTGAGGGGAATTCCTGGGCTATGTGGGAATGCTGAGGGAAAACAGGCAGCACACACTGAATCCCATTGGCATCTGACTGACAGCAGGTTCAGTGCTTGGAATTCCAGGATATATCAGAGAATTGGGCCAGACAAGATCTACCACCATCAAACCAGAAACTAGATGGTAAAAAATCCAACAGCTGGTGTTTGGGGAGGCTGTTTTCTCTTGGTTTGCCCGAGGTTTTTATGAGTGAAAGTTTCTGCCTTTCTCTTCCATTGTACTTTTCCCCCAGACACTTCCCAGCAGAGCCCAGGAGAAGCCCTGTCCCAGCTCTGCTGTCCCCATTCAGTCCCAGAGGTGCTCAGCCCCCTCTGGAACCACCGGGGGGGGGTTTGCTTTGTTAGGAAAGCGACCGAGACCCCAAATGTTGGCAAGGAAGTGATTAAAATTAGGAAGCACCAGAGCCATTGCTGCACCTCCTGGGAACAGCCTCAACATTCCCGTTTGTGGCTTTCTCTGGATTTTATTTGAATCTTTAGCCCTGTGAGGCCATGAGGGGAGTGAAGGGAACGCTGTCCGTGCTGTGGGTCAGCCAGGGCCCCCCAGCTGTCCCCTCCAAGGACATCCATGGACGTGCTGCTGCTCCTACTTCCAGCAGATCTTCCCAGCCTCCCCCACTCTCACAGCACCGCTGGCCACCAGCTGCAGGGCGGCAGGGAAGGCCCTGTGCTCTGCCTCCTTCACCCGCTCCGCCAGCGTCTGCTCCGTGTCGCCCACCTTCACCGGCACCGCCTCCTGGAAAATGATGGCTCCGGCGTCCACCTCCTCCTGTGGGAACAGCAGCCATGGTTGGGGAGGGAAGGGCCTGGCTGGGGGACACGGCCACACCCAGCTGCCTCAGGGATCCGTGTCACTGTCACTGTGTCACTGTGTCACTGTGTCACCGTGCTGGGACACGGCGTGGGGCTGATGGCGCTGGAGCCGATTTTGGCCCGGGAAGGGTTCAAGGGAAAGCAGGAGGGAGCAGAACTCCAGGGAGCAACCACTGTGCTCCAGAACACACCAAAAGCCCTGTTAGCCAGGGACACGAGGGGCTGGACTGGGCAGGATGGTGGCATTTCAGTCCAGAGGGGGGGATGAGCCAGGCCCTGGCACGGAGCCGGGACAGGGGTCCAGCCGTTCCCTGGGGAAGATCCCTGCGGGTCAGGGATTGTTCCTCAGGGCGCTGCCACACACAGAAACCCCAGGGCAGGGCCCAGAGGAAGGGATGCAGTTTTCTCTTCTAGCTGGAAAAATAATTTCTGCCTCTTTATCCAAGAGAAAGGCAAAAACCTGAGGAGAGATTCCAGCAGCAGTGGAAGGGGGAGCAGGAGGAGGAGAGCCGAGTTCCCCTGAGCTGAACAGGGTGGAACAAAGGCTCCCTGGCCTGATAAAAACGTGTCTCTGAAGCTGAGACACCTCTGGGGTTGGTTTGATGAAGTTCTGACCAACAGAAAGTGTCACGTTTTCCTGTTCCCACAAACATGGGATCATTCCTTAAAAAAAAAAAAAAAAATCCCAGCTTCTCGTGACATTTCCAGTGGTTTTTTCAGGGTTTTATTTTGGGGGGTTTTCTTTTGTGGTGTTTTGGTTTTTGTTTGTGGGGTTTGTTTGTTTGAGGGTTTTGTTTGTTGTAGTTTTTCCTTTTTTTTGAAAGCAACAACCAAGGCAGGTTGTAGGATAAACTCCAAGCAGCTGGGGCCCTGTTCAATAAAGATTTTGGCTTAGCCAAGGCCTTACATGAATTAGTCCTCCCACTCCAAAGGGTGGAAGGGAGCAGTGGGATGCTCAGGGAAGAAGTTCCCTTAGGGAAAGATTAAACTCCAGGGCAGACTCTTCATTTCCAGTCCCCCCTGCAGGGACAGCAAACTAAAGCACTGCCCTGGTCTCTGAAATCCCTGCGATGCAGAGACAGAGTGTTCCGAGTGCACAGAGGAGGGAAGGGGGTCAGACTCGAGGGTTTGGGGTGTCCCAAGCAGGCTCTGGGGTGGGGGCTGGAAGGCTGCTGGGAGCTGGGGCCCAGGGGAGGGAGGGACTCACAGCCACGAAGTGCACGGTGCAGCCCGTGACGCGCACGCCCGCCTGCAGCACCAGCCGGTGCGCGTGGGCCCCCTTGAAGGACGGCAGCAGGGACGGGTGGATGTTCAGGATCTTCCCTGCAAAAGGACAAGCGAGGTTACTGGCCCTCAGCACTGACCAGGGGGTGCAAGGCCCCACAACCAACAGAGGCATCAAATCACTCGTGAACAGGGTTTTTCCCCAGTTTTGGTGGCACTGGCATCCAACACTCAAAGTGTTTGGGGGTCTCACTGGTTCCCAAATACCAGTGGCTGGAGGACATTTCTCCAGGGATTAATAATGATGGATTTATCAGTGTAGCTGTCCCTTCCCTCAGCATCTTGTTCTCCTTTGATCCCAGGATCCCTGAGGCTGGAAAAGCCCTCCCAGCCCATGGATCCCCCCTGTGCCCCATCCCCACCTTGTCCCCCAGCCCAGAGCACTGAGTGCCACGGCCAGGCCTTCCTGGGACACCTCCAGGGCTGGGCACTCCAAACCTCCCTGGGCAGCCCCTGCCAAGGCCTCACCACCCTTTCCAGCAGGAAATTCCTCCTTGTGATAAACTGAGAAAATGATGCAAGCTAATTAAGAGAAAACAGTGTAAGGTCAATATGACCTGGAGAGAAAAGAAAAACAAGTCGTAAAACTTAATTGGGCCCCTATAAAGAGATAAAACAAGTTACCTCCCTTTTACCTTGTGTAGGATTTATAGGGAGAGAATTTTGTTTAGTTAGCTAGATAATAGCACCTTTCTTAAAATTTATAACTTTGTATAGATAACAAGCGAACATCTGCTGAAAGTCTGATTTAACAATATATTATGGATGCTTATAGATAACATTCTTGTTAAGAAATATCTGTGGAATGTCTGACCTAACAATGTGTAATGTTTATACTCATGTACCTAACAATGTGTAATGTTTATACTTATGTATAATGAATATTCATGTAGTAGCTGGAAATAAATGTAGAACAAATGTCTTCTTTGGGTGTGACAGGCGTTGGGAGTTGTTGAACCCCTTTCCTGATCACCCAGCGCTGAATTTGCTTTTATCACATAATAAAATTCTGATTGGAAATTGCCCAACTGGGTTTCCATTTCTCACAAAACCGTTTTTGAAGCAGCACCATCTGCTTAAAACTGGCAACCAAATTGGGTTACCTGCTGCTTGAGTCAAAAACCATCAGGGGCAGTGGCTGAAAACCTCACTCTGCATTTCTGCCTCAGTTTCCCATCAGAAGCTGCTCCAAAGGAATGTTCCCGTCTGCTTGGGTTTGTTTGGGTTTGTTTTACTCTGTCCTGTCTGAGAACATTCATCAGTAACACTGTCAAGCTGTTAAGAGAGAGTTTCACAACTCCCTTCATGCTCCGTGTCCTTGTGACTGAGAAAGAAAAAAGGAGCAGCTTTTACCAGAGCTCCATTCAGTGCTGGACATTCAAAAAACGAGTTTAACCCCCCTGGACTGAGAAGGTCTTTTCCTTTGCTCTCAGTTTTACATGTACAGCAAACCCTGCCCGTGCAGGGCGACCATCAGAGCTCTGTCCCGAAATCAGAAGGGACTAAACCCTTTATTTGCACGAGATTCTGCTCTAGAGGAAGTTCTTTTCCATCCCCCACACAGACTCTCCACTCCAGACACATCTGTTGAGTGAGGGGTTCTCTCTCCTAATCCCAGCTGCCCATGGGCTCTGAATGGACAAACAAAACCTGTTCCCCCCACAGCTCCCAAACCCCAGGAATGGCCTCAGGAACACTTGCTTTGCTCCACTGCTTTCAAAGAGAGGTTTGAAAAGTAGTTCAGGTGTGAAGTGTCCCAGACACACCCAGGGGAACACAAAAGTCACCATGTGAGCAATAAAAGCTGCCAGGTCCAGGTGCCCAGGCAGGGACTGCTCTGAGCAGGAGCTGCTTGAACAACCCTGAGCCCAAAGCAGAGCAAAGAGCAGCAGCTCTGCGTGTTCAGGGCTCCCTGGAGGGAACAGAGAGAGAGGAGAGGAAGGGGACAACCAGGGGTGGGAGGGCAGCCCCTGGAGCTGTTCCAGCCTCTCAAAGACCTGGAAAAACTGTAGAAGAGGAGCAGAGTGGAGACACTGTGAACATTCTGCCTAAACAAGAGTTGATCTGCCACCACTCACGGCCCAGGCACCTCCTGAGGTGTCTGGCCAGGTTCTGTTATCCCAAACTGCAGTGCTGCCCAATTTGGTGGGTTTACACAGATCCAAAGCAGCTCCTCTGTCAGGAAGGAATTCCCAGGGGCTGGAGGATCACCTCTCCCCAGCCAACACCTGCCCTGCACCTCATGTTTGCAGAGCTCTAAAGTCTTCACAGCCTCTTTTTAAATATTTTCTAATAAATCAAGGACTACAAGACCTGTCCTCGCCCTTGGCCTCCCTAAACCCCTGCACAAATGAGAGAGGGAAGGGGGGAAACTCTGCCTTTCCTCTCAGCCTTTTCCTTACAGGGTGGAAGGGTCTCGTTTCATGGGATCACAGCAGGGTTTGGGCTGGAAGGGGACCCTGGAGAGCTCCTGTTTCCTGCACACCCACAACTAACCCGCTCCTTTCTCCACCTTTCTTGCACCGTGTTTTCCCTGATGACAAAGTGCTGCTGTTTACATGCCCCCAGCACCCAGCTGTGCTCACCTTCCCACTTCTTGACGAAGGGGCCCGACAGGATCCTCATGAACCCCGCCAGGCAGACGAGCTCCACGGAGAACTCCCGCAGCACTTGGTCGACGGCGCCGTCGAAGTCGGCGCGGCTGGGGAAGGCCGTGTGCTCGATCACCTGCAACCGAGCACAGGGACGTGGGCACGGGCAGCTCCAGCAGCAGGAACAGCTCCTGGATGCACAAACATTCCCCCTTTGCTCCCAGCCACGGGAGGGACCCTCGGGAGGAAGAGGAGCTGGGCGTGGGCAGGCCCAGGGCAGCGGCCCCGGCGCTCCTCAGAGCTCAGCCCACCCGAGGCCTCTGGGGCTTTAACCTTGGCAAAAATGGTACCACAAAACCTTGAGAAAAAGGCCAATGCCAAACTCCTAAAGCAGCCCCCAGTGCAGACCCAGGGAATCACAGAGTCCTGGCAGGGACTGGTACAGCTGGGTTAGGGTTGGGAGGGACCTCACAGCCCATCCAGTGCCACCCCTGCCACGGGCAGGGACACCTTCCACCAGCCCAGGTTGCTCCAAGCCCCGTCCAACCTGGCCTTGGACACTTCCAGGGATCCAGGGGCAGCCACAGCTTCTCTGGGCAGCCTGGGCCAGGGCCTCCCCACCCTCCCAGCCAGGAATTCCTTCCCAATATCCCACCTATCCCTGCCCTCTGGCAGTGGGAAGCCATTCCCTGTGTCCTGTCCCTCCATCCCTTGTTCCCAGTCCCTGTCCAGCTCTCCTGGAGTCCCTTCAGGCCCTGCAAAGGACTCTCAGGTCTCCCTGGAGCCTTCTCTTCTCCAGGTGAACACCCCCAGCTCCCCCAGCCTGAGTTGTGTGTTTTCCATCCAGGATATATCCCCTAATTTAGGCAGGAAGAAGGCAGGACCAACTAACTGAAAGCATCCAGTCTCTTAAATAAAAGTACCTGTGAATCCCCACCAGAGTCACCAGAACTGCTCAGGTGACCATCAGCTCCTCAGAAAAACCTGAGGGTTGGAACTGGATGAGCTTTAAGTTCCCTTCCAACCCAAAGCAGTCTGTGACTCTGTGATTCCATGTTTGCTCCTCCCCTGCACACCATGGACTTATTTCACTTGTGACTTTTGTGTCCTCCCAAACAAGAGCCAGATCCCAAAGTTAAGAGCAAAGTTAAAGCTATTAGCAAATTATTAAAGTTAACAGCAAAGCTTTGGGCCCCAATTTCCCAGTGGAAAAGGACTGGAAAATGCTTCTAAGTCAGAACAGGATCATTTCTGATCTGTAATTGGAGAGACAAGGCAGCCCTGGAGCCATGGACACCAAGGGAATGAATCCTGGGGAGCCTGAAGTCAGTGGAGGGTCCCACTGAGTGTGACCTCTCTATTTTATTCAGTTGAACCACCACATCATTTTAAAGCTCAACTCAGATAAAACAGGATGTTCCTTTAGTGTCAATGCACTAAAGTTAAATAAATGGCAAAGTTTAAGCTGTGGCTGTGAAGGTTTTGTGCTGGTTTAATATAAAAGTGCTCCCCAAAGCACCAGGATTGCTGGCAGAGCAGGAGAAAAGGAGGCATTTGGTTTCCCCATGTTAGTTTGCCCAAGGGCACAAATTCCTGACAGACCAAGGGAGAAAAGCCAAGGCTCCCTGTCCAACCACCTCTTATCCCAGAAAACTCACAGCACCTTCCTGCTGGAGTCAGAGTTAGTGGGGGCTGCTTTTCCAAGAGGGAAATGCTCACCCTTGTAGGGATCCCAGCTCTCTCAGCTTTCCTCAGCCCCTCCACCCCGGGCTTGTTGGACACCACCAGGACGATCTGGGCAAAACTGGTGCTTTTCTTGGTGCTGTTGATCAGGGCTTCCAGGTTTGTGCCTGGGGGGAAAGGATTCATGGATGTCAAGTCTCTCCTGGAGAACAAACCCAGTGAGCAGCTGGGAGAGGTTTTAAATAAGCAGCAACGTGGGGGAGACCAAAGCAAACAGCTCTGATGTAACATTAATCCTGCTTTAATTGATCTCACTGAGCTTGACTGGGAGAGCTGAAGGCTCCAGGGCCTTTCCTGGCAACTGCACTTGGAAAGGGGAATTGACAGCACTGGAATGATGGTCTGAGTAAGTGGGAATACTCAGGAAGCAGGAAGAAATCCTGCTCTACCTGTGAAACGATGGTGCTGTTCCACAGGGCACCCCAGGGGTGTTTGGGTCTGGACACGGGCAGGGATTTGGGGATGAACTGAGCACAGATGCAGTTCGTGGTTTGCAGCAGAGGTTAAAAATCCTCCTGTTTGTGATTGAAATTAACCCAAGGGCAAAACCTCTCCTGCCTGTTAGAAGCCTCTCAGAGTGTCCAGGGAGAGCTCCACGGGCTTGGAACCCCAGCTGAATTCCTTCCCAACAGTCTGGTTCACATGGGGGTAAAGAGTGTGCTCCTCACCTGTTCCAGAGATCAGGACAGCCACCTTCACCTTGCCTGCCTGCATCCTGCCCTGGAGGTGGCTCTGCACAGACAGGGACCTGTTGGCCTGCAGGGCTCGCTGCAGATTGTGGACTTGAACGCTGTCAGAGCCTGAGCAAGGACAAGGAAACACCCAAAACCAACAAAACAACGTGTAAATACAGGGAGAAGCAGAAAGAGGAGGAAAGTACCTGTGAAAGAGATGAATGGAATGAAATGTCATTTAATATCCCAAGAAAAAAGTCATGGAGGTGCCAAGGAGGAGATTTGCAGCTGATCCCCAAGAAGACTCCCCTCCCAGAGGGGGAATTCAGCTCTGCTTTTTTTTTATTTTCCCAAGGAAAAAAAAAGTTTAACAACCTTTTTGCAGGGGGACAACCTTCCCAATGAGCCAGGCTGCCTCGTGTCTCTGGACATCCTGCAGGACCTGCTGAGCCATCTCCTTCTGCACCACCAGCACGGCCCCGATCCCGCAGTTGAACGTCCGGGCCATCTCCTCCTCAGACAGGTTCCCTTCCTTGTGCAGCCAGCTGAAGATTTCAGGGATCTTCCAGGTAAGAGCATCTGCAGGGAATTGGAAATACAAACCAAGAGTGGAAATCACTACCAACGGGCAAACAGTAAAATTACTGGGGTATGAAGAGGTAAAATCTGTGACAAGAGTCTCCCTCTGCCCTCAGTTCCCCCCGGGTGAGGGTGATTTCCAGCAGCACAAAAATGCTACTGGACGAGGCACTGGGAAGGAACTCCAAGGACAGGAAGTTTGTTTCTTGTCATGTTCTCTTGAAAGTGGTTGTATCTCATTTCTACAGAACCATGGAATGGTTTGGGTTGGAAGGACCTTAAAGCCCATCCAGTGCCACCCCCTGCCATGGGCAGGGACACCTTCCACCAGCCCAGGTTGCTCCAACCTGGCCTTGGACACTTCCAGGGATCCAGGGGCAGCCACAACTTCTCTGGGAAACCTGGGCCAGGGCCTCCCCACCCTCCCAGCCAGGAATTCCTTCCCAATATCCCATCTATCCCTGCCCTCTGGTAGTGGGAAGCCATTCCCTGTGTCCTGTCCCTCCATCCCTTGTCCCCAGTCCCTCTCCCGCTCTCCTGGAGCCCCTTTAGGCCCTGCAAAGGACTCTCAGGTCTCCCTGGAGCCTTCTCTTCTCCAGGTGAGCCCCCCCAGCTCTCCCAGAGCAGAGGTGTGAATACACATAAACATATACATTATATATATATATACACAGGTCTATAGTAGTGTCACTGGGGACAAGTGGCAGAATGATTTACCTGCAGTTCTGGAGTTCAAACCTCAATCTCAGCTCCCTTATTTTACTCTCCAACCCCCAGAACTCTCACAACCTACAGTGAGTCATTTCCCTTTCCACATCCCAGCTTCTCCAGCAGGGAAAGCCTCTCTCCAGCACACCTGAGCAGGTAGTGGTGAGGGTGAATTATGCTGAATAGCAGGAGATGTATCTGAGCCCAGAACCCCCCTGAATGCCAGCTGAACACCTCATGAGTATCATTTAAGTAGCAATGACTTCGTGGGTGATTGCAAATGGCAGCAGCTCACTTGGGATTGCTTTTAGGGTTGTTTGCTTTATGCAAGTATCCTAAAAAATCCAATCCCAAGCACCCCCAGGGGAAGGGGCGTCAGTGGGGAGCAGCCTTTACACTGCAGTGTTCTGCCTGGCCCTGGGTCAGGTCCAAGGCCAGACTCAGCCCTTTCCAGACAGGTATGTCCAGCCCCTGCACGTGCACAGGCTCCCACATAACCCACAGCAACAGCAGGACCTGCCCACAGCTTTCTTGTCACCTCACCTAAAACGACACCGAAGGAGTCAGGGAGCACCCTGGGAATGTTTTCCAGCAGTCCCCCCCCAGTGATGTGGGCAAAGGCCTTCACGTGGCCCGAGCGCAGCACGGGCAGCAGGGTCTTGCTGTAGAGTTTGGTTGGGGTCAACAGGAGCTCTCCTGGAAGAGGAGGAAAAAAAGACCAGTTACAGAAGGAAAGGCTAATCACCATAAAATGGGGGAAATTAGTGCCCACTGTGCTACAGAGAGAAGCCCAGTGTTCTGCCTTTCCTAGCACACAAGTAGCTGTTTATCCCCCTCCCTCCATTGATTTCCTGCACACGTGACCCACAGGAGACAAAAAGAAGATGAAAACACCTTAAAGATGGAACACATTTTTCCTGGTGCCTTTGAAAAGCTGCAAAAGCAAAGGCCCAGCCCAAAGAGTCGTGTGAAGTGCTGGGAAGCTCAGGCTCCAGGCAGTACCTAAAGTCTGGTCCCCAGAGGCACCAACGGGAGAGGAGAAGTCCAGGGAGGACTTTTCCACGATCTTCCTGACGAGGCTGTAGCCGTTGCTGTGCACCCCAGAGGAGGCCACCCCGATGAGCACGTCCCCATCCGAGATCCTGTCCAGCTGGGGCAGCATCTGCCCCCTCTCCACGGCCCCCACGGCGAAGCCGGCCAGGTCGTACTCCCCGGGCGGGTACATGCCCGGCATCTCGGCCGTCTCTCCTCCTGGGGAGCCACAGAACACACAGGCGGGGGTTGAGAAGCCACAGGATTGCGAGTTCCCCAGGTTTCAAGCTCAGGAGACGTTCACAGACTGGTTTTTTTAATTACAGAATCCCAGAACCCCAGCCTGGTCTGGGGTTCATCTTGTCCCACCTTCCACTAGACAGGTTGCTCCACGCCCTGCCCAACACTTAAATCCATATTTAATGAAGTTTGTGCACATCCAGGCAGGAGAGGAACCCTCAGCCCCTGGCTGGGATGAGCTCAGGGTTGTTGAGCTGAATATTCAGCTGCTGCAAAAACGCCTTTGCAGTTTGAAAGTCTCCAGCTGGAAATCCAACCCTGCCAGTGCAGCGACTTCATCCCGGGATCTCACACAGCAGGGCCTGTGCTGCCCCATGAATGGTCTGCTTGTGTCTGATAAATGGAGAGAACACCTTAAAACAAACATAAGGCTGACCAAGAGTTCACACAGCAAAAAAATAAACCAGGGCATAAAGAGCCTCCTGTTCAGAGCTGGTGAACGGCCCCAAAAGGACACGTTCCCACTGAGAAAGGACTTTGTTCCCAACTTTCTTAAGGAACTGGAAAAAAAGACAGAATTACCTAAAGACATTTGAACTGTCATTTTTTTGCCTCAAAGGTCTTTTTTGAAACATCATGGTCATTCCACACGTCTGATTTTACAAAAAAAAAAGAAGGAAAAGCAAAAAACTTTGTGAGGAAACAGAACTCTCTGGGTTTCACTGGTTTAAAATTGAACCCTGTTTTGAAGTCCTCTCATAAGAATTATACAAAAGAATGTGGGTTTCGCTGACCTAGAAACACTTTCCTTGAGTTGAGCAGTGGTAAGGGTGTATTTTTAATGATTCCAGAAGGGAAATACTGTCTTGTGTTGGTGGCTAACCAGATCACTGGACAGCAGAGCACACACAGAACTTGGCAGTAAAACACTTTATGTACTTGTATTCTAGGGCTGAAAAGGAAAACATCTAAATTTGAGTCTTAACATTTTGGAATATGTTCATCTTGGGGAAATCATCTTGGTTGGAAGTCGATCAGAGGAATGGAGCAGCTCTGCTGGGAGGAAAGGCTGGGAGGGCTGGGGGTGTTACCTGGAGAAGAGAAGGCTCCAGGGAGAGCTGAGAGCCCCTTCCAGGGCCTAAAGGGGCTCCAGGAGAGCTGGAGAGGGACTGGGGACAAGGGATGGAGGGACAGGACAAGGGGGAATGGCTTCCACTGCCAGAGGGCAGGGAGAGATGGGATATTGGGAAGGAATTCCTGGCTGGGAGGGTGGGGAGGGGCTGAGATAGAATTCCCAGAGAGGCTGTGGCTGCCCCTGGATCCCTGGAAGTGTCCAAGGCCAGGTTGGATGGGGCTTGGAGCAACCTGGGCTGGTGGAAAGTGTCCCTGCCCACGGTAGGGGGTGGCACTGGATGGTTTTTAAGGTCCCTCCCAACCCAAACCTTCTGGGATTCTTTCTTTTTACCCCTCTAAGATTCTTCAAGAGAGCAGGAAAACAACCCCATTAAAATCAACTACAAAGATCCTGCATAAGCTTTTCCACACCCTCCAGAGGAGGCTGTTCCTACCCAGCAGAGCACAGCCAGCCTTCTTGCAGGCATCAGCAACCCCTGCAATGACCCCCTGAGCCACGTCCACGTCCAGTTTGCCGCAGGCGAAGTAGTCGAGGAAGAAGAGGGGCTCTGCTCCCTGGGCCAGGATGTCGTTGACACACATGGCCACCAGGTCCTGCCCGATGGTGTCGTGCTTGTGACACTCCTGTGCAATCTGCAAAACACACCCAGACCCTCTGGGGTGGGCTGGGAACCCCAGACACCAGCGGGGGGCTGGGCCGGGCCCAAAGCACCGACGGCCCCGGATCCCACCGGCCCCGGATCCCAGCCGGCCCTCCTGGGGCTGCTGGAGGAGCAGCTCCATCTGCCACCATCCCTGGGGGCTCTCCCAGCTCTCCTCAGGAATTATTCCTGTCTCCCCTGGCGAGTCCCACAGACACTTAGCAGGGGGCAGAGCTGGAAGGGGTTTCCTGGAAAGGCCTGAGCACAACACGACCGTGGGATTAAATGGTTTTCCCCCCTGAGTGATTTTTTGGAGTGTGGAGGTTCTGCCTTCGTGAAACAGAGCTCCTGATTTCATAATTAATATTTAAAACCCACTTATTTTAGGCATCATATCAACTTCTGGCTATTTACAGGCCAGAAGTGAGATGTGTGTTCAATTCTTTTGCCTGAAAAAGGGCAATTTCAGTTTTCATCCCTTTTTTTTAGAAAGACAAATAGGTATTTTTACCAGACAACCCATATTTTCCGTTAAAACATTTTCCCTCCTGTGCTATTTTTTCTTCCTTTACGTGGATTTCCACCTTACCTTGAGTTTTGTGCCAACCCCATCAGTTCCAGACACCAAGATGGGATCTCTGTAACCAGCTGCCTTCAAGTCAAAGAGCCCAGCAAAGCCCCCGAGTTCTGCATTGCAGCCTGTCAGGAAACAGGAGGAAAGAGCCCAGTTTTACTTCCAGGGGCTTCTCCAGGATCTCCAACACAAGTTCTCTCCAATACTTGTCAACACAACTTTGCTTTGTCACCAGGAAACTTTTCTCTGGCATTTAGAGCCTCTTCCCAGAGGCACAGGAGCTCCTAATCTGCCTGGGTTGGCTTTGTCTCTAATTCATCATTAACTTAAGCCTAAAAATCCCAGACTTGGTGATGGAACAGTCACCAATTACTGTGACTGACATAATTCACCCTTGCACTGAGTGTTTTTCTGAAAAATAGAGGAGGAATTGTGGCAACAGACTGCTACTGGTTGTACTGGTGTGTGTATCTCTGTTTTTTTCTCTCTGTGTATATCTGATTTTATCAGAAGGTTCTCAGCTAATCTGAAGTAAAAGAGCTTTTTAATACATTTTTTTATAATTTAAATCTATCCAAAGAATTACAAGGACTTGCTAGAGCAAAAAAGGCACCAATTGATGCTGTTTTAACCAAGCAAAAGATGTGTCTTCCACATCTGTCTCAGGAATTGTAACCTTTCTACACATTCATCCCCCCAAAATTAAATAGTTCACTTTGCAAGAAATAACAACCCATGCAATCAAACCCAGCAGGAAATGGTGGGGCTTTTGCTTGCATTTGTCCTGTGCTCTCTAACACCCCTGGCATTCAGGAGATGTAGTTTAGAGTCATTTGGGGATGAAAACCTGCCTGCCTGGAGGAAATCACAGGCATTTGCTTCCCACTGATATTTGTTGTGTCACCTGGGAACACCCAGAACACACAGGCAGGAGGTTTAGATCCAGATCCAGAGATAACCCTCATTCCATGGCCCAGGAGCAGGAGGTCCATGTCTTACCTGACCTGGACGTGGCTGCAGCCAAGGGCTTGATCTTCTGAACCAGAGTGTTCCCTGCTGCAATGTCCACCCCACTGTTCTTGTAAGTCAGGCCTCTGGAAAAACGGGAAAAGGGGTTATGGAATTGGCTGGTGAATCCCAAACATCTGTTTGCAAACATTATTTGACCGGTGAATCCCAAACATCTGTTTCCCACCAGGATTCCCTTGTTCCCATCCCTAAGGGATGCCCTGCCTGGAATGCCATCCTGCCCTCCCACCCCACTGCTCTCCCCCTGCCCAGTGACTCTGTTCCCATGAACTGATCTCCAAGGACTCACCCCAGGCAGGCTCAGCAGCTCCAGGCTGAGCCTTTCTGCTGTCTGGAACCTGACCTGGGGACAGGGATTACTGCACCAAAGAAACAAAGCATGGGGGGTTTGCACCACAGACACTGCCAGAAGCAGGACTTGAATATTCCAGAGTTCAAAGTGGCATCAGGATCATCCAGTGAAATCCCAGGACAAAACCAACAGCAGAAAACCCCAACAACAAGGCAAAAGAGGCAGAAATAAATCAATGACCTCGACACCTGCAGGGTTTTACAGCTGCAGCTGAAGGGTGGCCTCTCCTTCCCACCTGGGAGGATCCCACCACAAAACCAGCCCTTTCCACCTAAAAGGACTTTCTACTAAACAATATATTTTAAATTTAGTTTAAAAAGACCCAAGTTCTAAGGTGGATTTTAGGACTCTAGAAAGGAATGTCAGGAAGCTCCAGGTGGGGTTTATGTACAAAGAAGTGTTTGTGTCCCCTGTGTCCCCACAACTCACTGGGGACATGAGGCACCACCTCCTATTTCCAGCAGGAGCTTTTATTTCTGGAGCCAGAGATTTTAATGACCTTTAACTCCCACCAAACACATCTCACTCCAGTTAAGCAGCTGTTATTCCCATGCTGGCAGTGGGAGGAACCAGCTGCATCCCTATTTTAGGTCCAGCCCTACTTTCTCTCTCTTATTGATGGGATCCAGACTGAAGTTCAAATTCTAAGGGTGAAACACACTCTTGATTAACAAGGACAATACAACCAAACAACTGAAACTCATTTAAAATCGACTCAGCTGAACAAAAAGATATACAGTTAATCCCCAAAACCCATCACAGGAACCAGGTTGAGAATTCAGGAAATATTAAAAACCAGTAAGAGACAGATACAAATGTTTAAACTGCATAAAACAGAGGAAATGTTTTTGTACTCTATTAAATCTAATTTTAAGATGTGAGAATTTTTTTTAGTGTCTAGGACACTGTTTCTCCTGTGAAGATCATTGCTGTAATATCTGGCACTGACCAGGGCAGACTAAAATCCCAGAATAACTGGCCCAAGAGTGGTGCTACCAGGAAAATACCAAGGTGTCTGCACTGCCACCACATCCCTGTCAAGAGCTGGCAAGAGGAAAACAATTATCACAATTCTGTTCAAGGAAATAGTGGCCTGCAACAACTAGAGAGCAAAGTCAGGCTCTCTCATGATAAACACCAGATTTTCACCTTGTTTTTAAAAGTATTTTAAATTTCTAGATTTTTTTTTTTTTAATCACCTTGGGTCCTTTAAATGAATCTCTAATTATTTAGATCTTCTGAAATACTGAGTAAATGTTCTGGCTGTTTTCCTGAAGGGAAATGCCTTGGGATGAATCCTCCTGGTAAGTCCCCAACGTTCCAGGCCAACCTTTCCCCTTCCTTCCCTGTGGGCAGCAAATCCAACGGGGATGGGGCTTGGAGCAACCTGAGCTGGTGGAGGGAGTCCCTGCCCATGGCAGGGGGTGGAACTGGATGGTCCCCGAGGTCCCTTCCAAGCCAGACCAGCCTGGGACTGTGGGATTGACACATTCCCAACTGTTCTGCCAGTCCAGGAGCAGAGCCTGGGGCAGAGCCCAGGGCACTGAGACAGGCAGGGACTGCAAAGGGCTCCCAGGAGGCTCCTTGATGAGCCAGGGATCCTCCCAGCCAGGCACTCCAGGCAGGAAACTTGCTGGCTGTGGCCCATGAACCCAGTGCTGCAGGGAACTGCTCATTAAAAGCCTCCTCTTGCCTCACACACTGACCTCATTATTTACTCCTACAAACACAGATCCCAACTCCACGGTGCCACCTCCATTGCTCAAGGGATGCAGAGCACTTGGGAGAGAAAGAAGACTAAATACCAACACCCTTGTTCATTCAGGAAGTTTATTGATCACCATTTTACAGAATCCTAACAGGACCCACTGTCAGCACCGACTGAACTCACTGAAGTGCCCCCAGGCTACAAAATAACTCATTAGCAAAAGGGGTGTTTGGAGCTAACTGGAGACAGGCAGAGCTGCTTCAGATCAGGGGAAAAGGAGTCTAAAAACCTGCAAGAAGCTTTCAGTGACATGAGAGGGACAACAGGACTCACAGCTATAAACAAAAACCCCACACCCACGTGATCTCCAGACTGCTCAAACTGAACACTGTGAAAATTAAAGGAATAAGGATGAAAAGGAATGATAAATCCTACCATGCTGCTGGCCACCCATTCCAGTACAATGTGTATCCCAACAAGGTGGAGGCTTCAAGATAACTTTAACCCTTTCTAAAAACTCTAAAATGAACCAATAGATCAGCTCAAACTTTGTTCATATTTAGAATCCTGGAATATCCTGAGTGGGAAGGGACCCACAAGGATCATCCAGTCCAACCCCTGGCCCTGAACAGGACACCCCAACAATCCCACCCTGTCTCTTGGGGCTGTGACCACATTTCCTGATACTAATATTAACATCAGACTTCTGGACAATACAAATCCAGAGCAAAAGCTGTGACTTCAGGCCCAAGAACCAGAAGTTGACCTTCCCCAAAACAGGTCTAACAGCCAGGAGCAGCACAAATGATTCCTGGGTGGTTTAATTGATTAGTTTAATTCCACTGCGGTTTAATCGATATTTGGGACTAAGAACATGGAAGAGAGTCATCCAAAAGCCTGTTCCTCCCTGGCTGGTCTTGCTGAGGTTGAGTACAAGGACAGTGGTTAAAACCTGCCAAGAGTGACACGGAATCACTCCTGCCAAGAGTGACTAACGTGGGCCAGGGGTGCTATCTGCATGTCAAGCAGGGGTGTTATTTCCACTGGAAGCGTTTGGAATATCTACCTGGATTGCCTGAGGAAAGCTATGGCCCGAGCACCAATGTCCTTCCTGTAGATGGCCCCCTGGAAGTGGATGGAGGCCACCCCCCTGTTGGCCTGCTGCAGGGCCGTGGGCAGGTCGTGGCCCAGGGCGGTGACGGTCAGCACGCGGCCCCCGCTGGTCAGCACCCGGCCGTCCCGCAGGGCCGTGCCAGCGTGGAACACCTCCAGCCCCAGCTGCTGGGCCTGGGCCAGCCCTGCCGGGGGGGGAGAGAGAAGAAAGGCAGAGAAAGCTGTTGGTTAGAACGTGCTCAGTGAACAGACACTCAGAAACCACAGGGCCAGCGTGAGCGCGCTGGGAAACGGGGACACACTGGGAAAAACTGCACTCGTGGGAGAGACGAGTCTGCCTGCGTGTCAGGGGAGGGGAACTCACTGACACACCTCAGCCCACGTGTGATTCCACTGGGCTGTGTGCCCCAGGGCCACACAGAGCACAAACAGCAGCAGCACTGTAGGGATCAGCGAGCAGAACCCCTGGACTGCAGCAGGTATTAAATAACACTGTGCCAATGTTAAATAATGTTAAACAACACTGTGCCAATGTCAAGTGTTAAATAATGTTAAGTAACACTGTGCCAATGTCAAGTGTTAAATAATGTTAAATAACACTGTGCCAACGTTAAAGGAACGTGGAGAATCGAAAATACAACAGAACAAACCAAGAGGGGTGAAAATTCAGCTGGTTCTTGCTGCCCCACAACCCCAGTTTGCATGGACCTCAGCTCCAGGGATTCACCTTCACCCAGCAAGAGAGAGAACAGGGGAGGAAGGAGCCGTCTGTGGTTTCTCCTGCTGCACTTACCTGTGATTTCCAAGCCCTTGGGATAGGCCCCCGGGTAGCCCTGGCTGGCCATGACCACGGTCACGGCTGCACTGCCCTCCAGCCACACTGGCAGGGAGCTGGAGAGCCTTTTGTCCACAACTGCCTGCATGACCTCGTACAAATCACTCTGCAGCAGGGGCAGAATTACCTGCAGAAACACAAGAGCAGCCAGTCAAACCAAGCAGTGCTCTGTTTTCTCCCCTGGCCTTTCAAAAGACACTAATGCAGCTGTAAAAATAACATTAAGTGTTTCACACATACTGCTTGTAATCTGGGTACCCTTAAAAGCACCCTTCCTTGAAGGTAATTTCTATGGGTAAAAGAAGGGAATTGTTACATCTGGAGGGGAAAAGGTACAGGACAAAGAACCCTATTTATCCTGGAGAACAGAAATTAAGAGAGTTTTTTCCACTTTCGAACTGGGAGTGGGGAAAAGAAGTGTTGGCTTCTTTAATAAATTAAAAAAAAATCCAACTCCATTCCAGAAAAGATAGGGAAGTGCTGAATTCCAGTCAAGCTGGCCCCTGTGAAGCCCAGATTTGAGTCCAGCCTGCTGAAATCTTCTCTGGAATGGAGCAATTTCCGAACAGATCTTCTGTCCTGAATAAATAACCCAAATATTTTAAGTCTCGGTGCAATTAGCTAATTATTCACCCAAAAGCTGGTTAACAACAGTGGTAGATGGTCACAGATTTTTCTCCCCTAATGCCAAACTGTATCTACCCCCAGAATAACTCACCTGACACTCTGGGTCACCGAATCTGCAGTTAAACTCCAGAACTTTAGGCCCATCTTTGGTGAGCATTAATCCAGCATAAAGCACACCTAGGACAGAAAATGATGTGAAAAACTCCCTCAGCAACTGCCCAGCTCATTTGTTTTGAGTCTGTTGATAACAGGGTTTAGAAGGATGTCCCCTGTGCTCACTGAACTTGAGAAATGGAACAATAAATCAGGCAGAAACAGTTGTGGTCACAGTTTTGCTGTTCCTGGCTGTTCTTCCTTGCTTGACAATTATCCCCCATTCAGGAAATGACATCTATTGATTTCCATGGACTCTGAATCAAGCCAGTGACACCAAACCCAGCTGCCAAAGAAATCAAAGCTACCTCCCTTACCTTCCAGGCTGAGTTAGGCCTACAAAGAGGAAAAAGCGAAATAAAAGGTCTTTCTCCTTATGATTAAAAATCCCAGACTTCTGTACCTACCCAAATAGGGGACACCTTCTTTCCTCATGCCATCAACAGTCTTCTGAAGTACAGTATCTCTGATTTGCTGCAGCAAATCTTTAGAAATCTAATAAAACAGGACCAGAAAACAGGGTTTGTGAAAAGGGAGGGCACGATTTTGTGTTTTTAAGACCTGAGCAGAACACTTGGATGGTCTCCTGCTCACTCCAAGACATTCCATCCAATGGAAAACTAATCATTCTTTTCCCTCTATTTTTGCAGACAGAAGTTCCTTGTCAAACAGGCACCAAACTGCCTCAAGGCACAGCAGAAACTCATCCCCAGCTTTGCCTGGCACAGGGTAAAAGTGTGGCTTTGGAGCACTTGGTTCTAACGATCAGCCCTTCAAAACACTTCAAAACCCAGGCTGTAAAAACACCACTTCCACCTTTAAAATTCCAAGGAACTCAGTAGGAATACCCTCCTCTTCAGGGAAATTTAGTAAGTGATGGATTTGACTTGGCCTTGTCTGTTTTAGGCAGCTCTCCCCATCCACAGGAGCCCGTTCCCTCCCGTTCATCCTGGTGGAGCTGAACATTCCCACATGCTTTGTAGTGAAACATCTCCTCACCCACCCCTTCTTCCCTTCCCCACCATCCCATTTTTACCTGAGGAGCTGGGCAGTAGGCTCCCATCCCTCCCGTGTTGGGCCCCTCGTCCCCGTCCAGCAGCCTCTTGTGGTCCTGGGCGGGCGGCATCGGGGCGACGGTGACGCCGTCGGTGAAACACAAGCACTGGGGAACAGGGAAGCGTTGAAATTCCAGCCTGGGGGATTCTGCAGCTGAGGGGGAACAGCGGGACTGCAGCTGCTCTGCGGGGACACTGAGGAGGAACAACTCTGCCCCCCTCGCCAAACAAACCACGGGATTCTAAAGAGTTGCCTTCCCCTCGTTTCCTACGACCTTCCTCCAGAAATCACCTCTAATGAAACAGGTAAAAACTACACCACCGGCGGCTGCACTGGAAAGAAACACTCAAAACTTTAAAAAGAAATTAAAAAATTAAAACACAGCCCGGTGGAAATTACTGCTTCCCTCCCCTCCCTCCCCCTGCCCCGGAAGGAAGGCATTCCATTGCTTCCAAGGCTTCCTTTTCCTCGCTGAGAAAGCTGCTTGCTCGTGAATTATTTATAAATTATTTATATAGCAGTTCCTTTTATCCTCAGTATCTTCATAATTACAAGCCTGCTGGCAGCTTCTGCAGCTGGCTGATGTTGCTCACTGAAGCTGGGTAATGTTGTTCACTGTCTGGACTAATGTGAACAGCACTGAAACCCATTTTATAATGCTAATTATAAAATTGATAAATCAAGCAAGGATTCTGCTAATCAAAAAGAAAAAAAAGCTAAAATATTAATATATTAAAAATATGTGATTTGTGGGAGGTGAATTATCTTGCTGGGCAAGGAAAGCAGTACATTTTCTTCACTGTTGTCAGTCAGCACAGAAAAAAAAACCCATAAACTGGATTTTGTTTTATTGTATTTGTTGTATTAAGTAAGTCTGCTGGGTATTCCAAGTTCTAGTTTTTAAATGAAGGGGTTGAAGCAGCTTAAAATGAAGGAAAAGTTCTCTCTACCTCTGCAGAGTAAACCAACACTGTCAAAACAAGGATTGGTTTTTTTTCCATGTGGCAACAGCTGTTTGAGTTATTCTTATTTAATGTGATTTATTTTAACAGACCACAGGGAGTTTGGCTCTTAGCACAGCTGTCTTTAATTAATACCACTTTATTTACACCAGGTAACTGGTTTTAATTGACACAATGATTTTTTTTCATTTACTAAAGAATAGATTTCTCCCCTTTGCAGGTGGGGTTAGTCCTACAGTGTGTCCCAGGTAGTTTAGGGCAGGTGGAATTAAGGTGTTACAGTGAGATGCACTTACAGAAATCTCTTCTCCTTCAAGAAGCTCTTCAACAACGACAGTTTCCCCAGCTGTGCCAAAACTCTTATCCTACAGGAAAACAAAAAAATCTCTTTACTTCTGTTTCACTGGTTTTAAAGTACTGAAAATGGAACAAGAAATAAATACTTTTAATACAGCAAAAAACCCACAGCACAGGTTTGAGACTCTGAATCCCTTCTCCCCCCAGGGGGTGCCAGCAGTGGGAAATTCTTTGTTCCTCTTTTCTGATTATTCTTAAATAAATGCAGGTTTTCTTACTGAGTATTTTCAAATGGCAGGGGTTATTTGTGATTCCTGAGCAATTCCACAAGCTGAATTTTGCCCCCATGTCACTGAGACCAACAGCAACGACTGTCGAGTCTCCCATCTGAAGTTTTGCTTGCCAGGAAAGTGCAGTTTTATACAATACATGGGAAGGGAGTGAGATTTTCATATCCCAGGGCAATGTCTGAACGCTGACTGCATGTTCTGGGTAATTAAGAACAAGCAGCCCACACTGACAAGGTAATTTTGGGGTCTATAAGACTCCCTAACACACAGTTTTTTGTACACGACATTGGGGCACACGTTAAGACATTTATTGTCTTATTCACCCCCCAAAATGGGACTGCAGAGCCCCTGCTGAGACCCACACTGAAACACAGGTCTGTCAGATCCCATCTCCTGGGGATCAGCAGAGCTCCATGGAATTTTAGACTGCTCCTCTGCTGACACCAGCTGAGGGCCTGGCCTGGCAGCCTCAGCTCTGTGCTCCTCACTGGTCTGATAAAATCACTGAATTTTGCCTCACTTCTAATTTTGATGCTCCAAATATGTTTGCAGAATATCCTACCTCATTGCACACTTCACTTGGAATAATTCCACTAGAATTTTACTGTACATTCAAGTGCTGTGTGATGAGTCCTAAAGCTAATGGTGCTTGTAAAGATCCTCCTCAGTGTCAGAGCTCCTGTTCCTGCTTGGCTGCAGCAGCCTCAGATGGTATAATAAAAAAAGGAAATGTATGTACAAATAAGTGAAATCAAGGTGGGTTTTCATGAAGAAGGATTTTATTTGAGCCTACAGGAAGTATGCCTCCAGCAATAAATATAACAGAGCTCCATAGCTGTCCAAATAACGGGTGGAAGGTTTGATGTCTTCCAGCCAAGCTCCTGTCACACAGAAATAAGGAACATCTCTGAGAGGGTTCCTGTGTACCCAGGTGAGTGTGTGACATCCCTGCTCACCTGCATCATTTCAGTGACAGCTTTGCAGGCCTCTGCCTTGGTCGAGGCCACGATGACTCCTTTGCCAGCTGCCAGGCCACTGGCCTTCACCACCAGAGCAGGGAAGTTTGCACTGCAGAGGCACAGGACAGACATTCAACACTAAACAACCTTTGCAAAGACAATTTGAGCATTTCAAGAGTTGAGAGATCAAAAGGTCAGAACACTTCTGTGTTTTCATAGCAACCCTATTGAGTAACACACAGATCAAACCAGGCTCCTCCTGCTCTGCCTGGGAAGGGTTTGTGTTTCTTTGCCCTACCACTGAATTCCATGAGTGTTCATTCCTGCTTTCCATGCAATAATTCACTCCTGTATCATCTGGGGTCACCTGGGTTGTACCCTGAGGAGCAGACCATCAGTTGCTGAGTAAGTCTCCAAATATACTCCTGGAGAAGAGGCCAAGAACCAGAACAGATGGTTCTCAGGCTGCTCGCTGGGTCTCCACAGCAGGAGTTTGAAAAGAAATAAAACCTGTCCTACATTCTCCTGTAAACTGAGCACTGAACTGTAATTTCACTTTGGAGCAGTAGGTAAGAACCATTTCTATCACCTGCTGCACTTTGACAGTGGTAGGTGATCCTTTAACACCTTTCCAGATGTTCCATCGCAAAGGTATCGATACACCAGCAATCATTTGACTGGGTTTGGATATCCAGCACATAAAAATATGCCTCAAATGCCCAGCCCTGTACCTGTTAATAAAGCTGCAGGCTGCCCTGGGGTCAGTGAAGGCTTTCCACCTCGCAGTTGGGATGCCATGACGGTCAAAGAAGGCCTTGGAAAAGCTCTTGCTGGACTCCAGCTGAGCTGCCTTTGCTGTGGGGCCAAAACACCTGATCCCAGCTGCTGTCAGGTCATCCACAACCCCTGCAAACACAACACAAACATGGTATGAACCTCCAGGTGATCTGTGGCAGTCGGGCAGGCCAAGACACAGGAGCACTGACTCCTTGGAACGAGGATGTCAGGAATAACAAGTCACATACATCTCTGCAGTGCCTGTTGCCCAGCTGGGCCCTGGCTGCATTCCTCCCCGGAATCAGGAGCCTGCGACTCCTGAGGCTCCGAGGATTTGGGGAGAGGTGACAATCCCCCTTTGGTTTATTGGATCTTTTAACTCAAAAGCCAACATTAGGCTTTTGTGAAGGTGCCAATGGTTGCACAGGTAAAAGGTTCAAACAGAAAAATTACCAGCATGTTTATATTTATCTTTTTTTCACCAAGACTCAAACGATAATTATTTCAAAACATTTGGAAAACCAAAACTGCTTTTATTACTAACACAATATCCTTCAGAAATTCATTTTCACCTCAGCACAACCCCCAGTTTCAGGGAAGGTGTCCCAGAGGATCTGTTCCATTCCCACTGGAGACACTCGGACAGTGCTGAGTGATGACAGATGAGGACTAAAATTTCCCTTTCTTCCTAAAAGCTGAAGGCTGTGATTTTTAGCTTGTTTCTCTTACCAGCAGCAAGAGGGACCTCTGGACCAACCACCACCAGCCTGATGTCTTGATCTCTGCAGAACTGGGCGAGGGCAGCGTGATCACTGACCGGGACAGCTGGTGGAGACACAAAGGGGGGTGAGATCCCATCAGGAGTGTTGGTCAGCACTGACTTTAACCAGAATATAATCTTTTTTTCAGCCAGTCTCCTCCCTCGTAGAGTCACCATGAAGCTTTACAGATGTAAGACCAGGTTGGACGGGGCTTGGAGCAACCTGGGCTAGTGGAAGGTGTCCCTGCCCATGGCAGGGGTGGCACTGGATGGGCATTAAGGTCCCTTCCATCCCAAACCACTCCATGATTCTATGATCTCAGGATATTCGTGCCAGCAGGGTGTGGGGAATGAAGCAAGTGGCTGGTGGTGGAATTCCAACTCATCTATTTTCTTTTTTTTCCTTCTTTTTGCAGTGCTGCACTAAACCCACCTCACCGAGACCAAGGGGAATCAGAACATTTTTTTTGTACATTAAGCTGAAGTTAATTAGAAGGACCAGTGCTGCCATTGTGGCCAAGGGTACGTGGGCTCAGGGGGCTACAACCATCACCCTTCCACAAACAAACATTCCCTATGACGACACCTGGACTGCCCCAGACTGTGCAAACAGGAGGAGAGGCTGCCCCAAAGACAACAACGCCAAGGCTCCTGATAAAAACGTTACGCAAAGGCCCCGCAGTCCCACTGAGTTATCACAGATAAATAAAGCCAAGGTCTGAGAGGATGGACCCCCAGAGCCAAAGGGTGAGCCTGGTGTGGATTGGCTGCTTGGGCTGGGAGGAGACAACACAACAGGGCACTGCGTTGGCAAAGGGGGCACAGAATCCCACAGTCATCCAGGCTGGCAGAGCGCTCCAGGATCACCCAGTCCCACCCCAGCACCACCACATCCACCCCTAAAATCCATGTTCCCAAGGGCCTCTGGAACACTCCCACACACAGGGACTCCACCACCTCCCTGGCACGCTTATTCCAAGGCCTGACCACTCCTGCAGGGAAAGCTTGTCTCTAATCTCCAATCTGAACCTGTTCTGGGGCGATTTAAGGCCGTTTCCTCTCCTCCTTTCCCTTGGGACATGGCAGCAGACAGGCAAACACAGCAGGAGCTGATGGGCTCCCCTGGCCAGTTTTTGGGGGGTGATGAGAGAGGAAGGAGAGGAGTGGACAGTCAGTGCCCACTGTGCTCCTGCCATCCTGGATGGATGAATCCACAGAAACATGGAATCCCAGACTGGGTTGGGTTGGAAGGGACCTCAAAGCCCATCCAGTGCCACCCCTGCCATGGGCAGGGACACCTTCCACCAGCCCAGGTTGCTCCAAGCCCCGTCCAGCCTGGCCTTGGACACTCCCAGGGATCCAGGGGCAGCCACAGCTTCTCTGGCCAACCTGGGTCAGGGCCTCCCCACCCTCCCAGCCAGGAATTCCTTCCCAATATCCCATCTCACCCTGCCCTCTGGCACTGGGAAGCCATTCCCATTGTCCTGTCCCTCCATCCCTCGTCCAAGGTCCCTCTCCAAGCAGGGAAAGGAAGAGCCTGGAATTCACCCCCAACTATCTTGCTGCAGGTCTGATCTACTCCTGACACGAACAGTGAATGTGGCCCAACATTTCCACGATGTGGGAATGTCCTTCCAACACCCAGGAAGGGACAAATCATGGTGTTTTTCCTCAGGGTGTTGAGTGAAAGGGGGCATTTTTGTAGCTTAAAACAACAGCTGAACCTCTGCAACCAGACAGAAGGACCCTGGACCAAGGTTTTCAAAGCTCCAGCTTAGAGATAAGACCACAAGTGCCACTGGGAGGTAAAATGGGACAGAAGGAGGTGTCAGGGTGGTGAAGTCCATTCACAGACACACATATTTCTATCTCTGCATTCACCAAGGCATTCCAGATGCTTCTGGCACCAAAACTGCCCTGATAATTCAATCTAAATCAAATATAAACCTACACTTAGTCAACCTAAATGCCTTTATTGTCAGAAATGATTTCAGGCTCAGATTAACCGTGACAACTTTTATTTTTGACTTGGATACTGGCTAGGTTTTAAAGATTTAAGCTTATTTATAAGTTTAAGCTCACTTTTTTATGTTTCATTAATCACCCAAGACCCAGAGCTGCAATGCTAATTAAAGGCAATTTCAGGAACCACAAAGGGAGGAATAACTTTCAGAGCAAAGTGCTGATTATCCCAAAAAAGGCCCGGCCCCCAGGGCAGGAGATTCCCAGCCACTGCTGCCCACACCAGCTAAGAGGGCTCATGTGCTTCTGGGAAACTGTTATCCATTTTCCCCCCTGAGCTAAAATCCAGTGACAGCACTGGAATTCCTGAGCAGGTGAGACAAATGGTTCCTTAAAATCCTCAAATTCCAGATTCTTCCTGGCTGGCTGAATTTCTCTCCCAAAGTACAGGTGGTCCCATAGTCCAGGATTAAAGGATTTTATTACACATGGGGGATTTCATGGGCCTGGCTCGAGCTCCACCATCTTCCACTGCTGGTGCAATGTTTTTTATGGAATAACAAGGTGAGAGAAGAGCCCAGAGCTTTTAAAATGACACAGCTTGCAAAAACATGCTGGAATTGCCATTCCCCAGGCCAGGCAGACTGGCACTGGCTCCATTTAGCACCAGGGGAAGGGTTTTTGTTTGACTTTCTGGTCCTGTCAGGCTCTTCCTTGGGCCCTCCCCTCAAAGGCCAAACAGAGCAAAGAACTACTTGTGATACTGGAATTAGACAGAGAAATTAAGGACAAAGTTCTTTACGAAGCCTATAATGAAGCATTCCAGTGGAATTCCATACCACAATCACCTGCTGGACAAGAACCTGACAGGACTCATTTTCCACAGGAGATAACTGCCCAAAAAGCTGCTCCCATAAAACCAGGAATGCAGAAGTGGATGTGTGTGATCCATGCTCATGCATCCTGCCTTAACCTGAATTCCAAACCTCACCACATGTTCTGAAGTGGAAACTGAAGTCTCAGGTTGTTTAAAGCCTCTGATTCGGGATTTGTTAGATAAAGGACACAGGAATCTGAGTAATTCCTCCAAGGTTTTTTTTGGAATGCAGCCCCTAATTTCGGATGCTCAATTTGAAACATCTTAGGCTTGATTTCTCCAACCTAATAACTATGAAAGATTTCAATTACAGCCACTCAGAGCTTAATGTGTTCAGCCAAGGGCTCAAAACAGGCAGTCAGTACACAGACAGAAATACCTGAAAATAACCTGAATTTCTTAAGGTCCCTAAGACACAGGAATTAATCTGTTTTCATGGTGACAGAGCATTCTTGTCACAGGCTGTGGGGATCATGGGGCTTCAACACACTGCTGACAACACAGGAGTGAATTTAGTGGGAACCAAGCAACTATCCTGGGCTGGATTCCCAGAGGAGCAGCTTTGGCTGAATCCTCCAACCCCAAACCTAAAGAATTCGATATCACAGCTGAGATCTTATAAAATGAATTACACAAGTTACACAAGGCTTGGCTCAGACATTTTTTGTCTTTGTAACTGCATCTAAAATCTACTTCACAGGCCCAAACCCTTCAAAAATAGTAACAGTAGTAATAATAATAATAATAATAACAACATTTTCACATTCCCAGCAGTGACTTCAGCTCGGGGACTACAGGAACTTACTGGTTGAGTTATGGAATTTAAAAGTGGTATATTTTCCTTGGTTTTACCTGCATTGGAAATTTTTCCATTGTCAGCTGTTCCTGCATTTCCTGGAGCCACAAACACATGTTTGACATGTGGGGACTGGGCCAACTTCCAGGCCAGGGCGTGTTCTCTGCCCCCACCGCCGAGGACCAGCACCCGCTCAGCCATGGATCTGCAGGAGAGCAGGACACAGGGAAAAGAGCCAGAGTTAGCTGGGCAGGGGAGCAAAGGGAGAGCTTCCCAGCCCAGGAAGTGCTGCAGAACTTCAGCAGATGAGACACACACGGAATATCAGAGACTGAACCACCCAGAGCACAGCAGGAACCCCTAAGGAAACTCATCCTGGGGTTTAGTGACAGTGGAAACTGCTCGTGGTTATAAAGAAGGCTGGGATAAAGGAAAAACCTTGATGAATGACCAGGCTGGGATTTGCAGCCTAATCCCAGACTGGTTTGGGTTGGGAGGGACCTCAAAGCTCATCCCATTCCACCCCCTGCCATGGGCAGGGACACCTTCCACCAGCCCAGGGTGCTCCAAGCCCCGTCCAACCTGGCCTGGGACACTTCCAGGGATCCAGGGGCAGCCACAGCTTCTCTGGGCAACCTGGGCCAGGGCCTCCCCACCCTCCTAGCCAGGAATTCCTTCCCAATATCCCATCTAACCCTGCCCTCTGGCACTGGGAAGCCATTCCCTGTGTCCTGTCCCTCCATGCCTTGTCCCCAGTCCCTCTCCAGCTCTCCTGGAGCCCCTTTAGACCCTGCAAGGGGCTCTCAGCTCTCCCTGGAGCCTTCTCTTCTCCAGGTGAGCCCCCCCAGCTCTCCCAGCCTGGCTCCAGAGCAGAGGCTGTAGGAGCCACTCCCAGGAGGAAGAACAGAGCCCAGAGCAGAGGTTTGGACAGCAGGAACACGCCGTGCCCCCGCTGTAATCCCAGCATGTCACACACCCCCAGACCCTCCCCTCACACAGGGCACCGACCTGCCCTCCTGGCCAGGGCTCCAAGGTGAGCTCAGACACAGGAGAGCAGGACACACAAAATGCACCTCAGAAAAGGCAAAAAACCCCCAACAAACCCCAACACATTTCTAAGGGAAAAGCAGAAATGATCAAAAGCAGATTTTCAGATAAGACAGGGACATCACGTCAGCTGCTACAGCTTGACTTGGATAAAGCTGCTCTGATAAGGCAAAATATCTGGATTAGGGAAAATACCCAGGCAGAATAAAGCCAAAATAAACATGAAGAGAAGGATAAGGTACAGAACATTAACACTGAGTCCTTCACTATCATATAATATCACTATAATATCATATCATATCATGTATCACATATCACTATCATACCAGAGATAAAATTCAACAGTAGTTTCATGCTGGGGGAGACCAACAGGTTTCTAATCAAGTGTTGGACAAAATATACACGTTGCAGCATTGAGAAATGTTCTAGCTACAGAACTCCAGGATGACTTGCAATTAAAAAAAACCACCCTGGGCTAAAAATGATCAGTTATGGTGTAGATATTTGGGATATTATGCTTAACCTCTTTTATATTACAAATCAAGAAAAAATTGAAGATAAAAGAACAAGGGATACAGCAAAGGGATGAATTAAAGACAGTAATGGGAATATTAAAGAACATTTATAAGCTGTCTCCTCCACTGAAGTTAAACTAAACATGTAGTCAGTGGAGTCCACAGACAGCTGCCATTAAATAGTAACATTTATGGCAAATTTTTATCAATAATAAGTTGAATTATACACAACATAATTATGTGGGAAAAAAAAATTAGAACTTTTAACCCTTAAACTTTTAAATTAAACGAAAAAAAATTGAAATTTAAAACTTTCCAAGTGAGTGACTGGAAGGCAGGGCCAGCCCAGACTTACTGTGTGCTCCGTGCAGGCTGAGCAGAGCAGGACCCGGGAGCTCGAAGGGAAGAGGGAGCAGCAGCCCCTGGTTAAAATGTGCTGCCCTGGCCCAACACTCCCGCCCCACTGCTCCCACTCCAGCAGCCAATGGCCAGGGAACTGCAGCCATTCCAGCTGGGAACAGGGGACGGGAACCTGCCTACAAGTGGTGGGGGAGTGAGAAGCAAAAGCTTTGCAGAGCAGGAGCTGCACATCCTGCTGCCTCGAAACAAAATAAATTCTGTCCCATCCCAGCTATTTTTCTGCAGTTAAAACCATTCACCAACCAGTTTGTGAACAGCCTCTTTTTATCTAAAAATGAGGCTCTGCATTGTTGCTGTAAATAAAAATGACCTGTGTACATGAACAGTATGAGAGAATAAGGTGTATGATGCAAATTATCACGGAATGGTTTGGGTGGGGAGGGACCTTAAAGTCCCTCCAGTGCCACCCCTGCCATGGGCAGGGACACCTTCCACCAGCCCAGGTTGCTCCAAGCCCCCTCCAACCTGGAATTGGACACTTCCAGGCATGGAGCAGCCACAGCTTCTGTGGGCAACCTGCCCTGAAGTGACATATTCTAATACCACTGTCAGCTGGAAACACACTAATAACATACAAAGTTTGATATGGGAGCAAGGAAATAGAACAAGCCAGGCCTCCTATGCCCAAATAATATTTAATCACTTCAGAATAAAAAATGTGAGTGAAAAGTAAGTTTCAGATGTTTGTTTTGAGGCTCCATGTTATTGGTGCATCCCACTATGGTATCCAAGCAACTTTTATTTAGGAGTGTGGCTTGAGAAGAACTTCTGCTGGCAATCCCAGTTTGGGAGGCTCGGATTTAGCAGTGGCAGCTTCTTTTCCACACTGACACAGAAGGATGCCGTGGAGGCCCCTCTGCTGCTCAGCAGGGTCTGGCTTTAAAAGTGAAAATTCCAAGAGGCAACATTTCTTTTTATTTCTGTCCCTAATCCAGGAGTCAAAAATTCGTTATCAAGAGACCTAAAGCCCAGGTAGAAAGACAAGGTAGATATTTACTACTGTGAGGACTATCACACCCCCAGGATTTTTGGGAGCAATTCCTTAAAGGTTCCAAACCATGGAGTGCAATTACCTTTGGCAGCCATCGTCTGCTTTGGTAAAGGAGGGAGGAACGTTTGTTTAAAAGGTGTCCCAAAATAAAGAGCAGGGACATTTCAGGAAAGGGGCTGTTAGTAGGTCCGTCTATGAAGGGAGAACAGGGAAGAAGAAACTAATCACTCCAAGGATCCAAGAGGGGAGGAGCCAAGGATAGAGTGAAGACAAGGTGATTCCCAGAGCTTATCCCAGAGGTTGCCAGGAGAAAGTCTGCAGGGAGGAGCAGCAGCCCAGAGACCTTTATCCTCCAGGGCAGGCGGAGTCACCGACAATCCAGGTAACTCTTCCACTCCAGCAGGGCCTGTGGGGCAGAGAAAACCCAGTGAGGAAGGAAATCCCAACAGTCCTGAGGGCTTTTTACCAGCCTGACTCCTCCAGGAGCCACAGAGAGGTCTCAAACACAGGGAGCACTGGGATGAGGCCACCCAGGAGCTGCCCTTTCCCTGTGAACAGTCAGGACAGGAGCCACTGACATTCCCAAACTGGCCTGTGCCCAAGGCTGTTACACCCAGCTCCCTGGCTGCATTTATGGAGAAAACTCTGGAAGGAAACACCAACTCCTGAAGCACTTATTCCCAAGGGGCAGCTTCACAAGTGTGGTGCAAGTTACCTAATTAGTTTATCTCGACTGGGTGGGGTATTTTAATAAGGCAGTGCCTTATCACCTCACCCTAATTACAGCAGTGAAAGGTGCAATTAGATCTCTGCACTCCAGCACAAACACAAAGGGTCCCACTGGTGGCACCTCACTGCTTCAGACAGTGATTTATTTTTTTTAATTAAGCTCTAGTGCTGTTGGTTTTCTCTGTGCTCCTTGATATCCTCACTTCCCAACACTGGGAATCAGGAAACCTGATGCAGCATTCAAGCTTCTTCAGACCAAGGACACGGTTCTTGCCCAGTGTCTTAATTCAAGGCCAGGCTGGACAGGGCTCTGGGTAACTGGTCTAGTGGAAAGTGTCCCTGCCCATGGAATGGGATGAGCTTTGAGGTCCCTTCCAACCCAAACCAGTCTGGGATTCTATGAATTCCACCCTTCTTAGAGCACAGGCTGAAAAAGGGCCCAGCAGTGACAGCAGTGACCTGAACACAGGAACCCAAGCCCAGTGTCACCGTGAAGGTTCAAACCCATGACCCCCAGCCCTGGAGAGGAGCTCTTATCACCTGGCTTGGGACTAAAGGATGAGGTTCACTCCTCCCCTTGGAGTCAGGCAGGGAAAGAAAATAAATGAATTCTCACAGGGGACAGGAAAAGCCCCAAACTGGGAAGGCTGAGCAATTCCCACCCCATCCTGTGCTGTGTTTCTACACCCAAGAAGCCAGAGCTGTTTATGTGGGTTTTTTTCATAGACCTCTCATGGGCTAAAAGAAATCAAAAGAAGGGACTGGAGAAGAACCAGAACTTCTTCCTCCCAACTTCCACTCCCTCCCAGGATCCTGCCATGCTTTCCTTGGGTCCCAAGCTCGCCCACAGCCGGGTCGTGTGGTCCCAAACCCCACGGGCTGCTCCCAGATCTCCTGCTCTCTGAATTAATCCAAGGGCTGAGTCACTCCTTCGGAGCCCCCTGCACATTCCCAGCACCCCCAGAGCTGGGCACACACGGGGGAAGCTCCTCAGGGAATCTGTGCCAGGGGCTGGAGCCCGTTCAGGCTCGGGACTGCACAAGGTTCAGCCACTGTGGTTTCACAAGTGGCTCGTGCTGCCCTTGGCTGGAGAAGCTTCCCATTGGTGCCACCAACTTCTCCACCTCCAGGCTCTCCCTCCCTCTCCCTCCTGCATGTGCCAGGGGTCACTTGGATCAGCAAGGTAATGCTGGAAAGCTGACACCACAACAGCAGCCAACCCAGCAAAGTAAATATATACGTATGGATATATAAAGGGAATCCTTCTGTTCCACCCTAGTGAGCTGAACTGACTCCCTGAGGGATGGAGGATCCCAGGCAGGACAAGGGAAGCAGGAGCAGAGGGCAGCCAGGGAGGGGGAGAAGAGCAAAGCCAGCCGTGCCCTGCTCCCTGGGATTGAGTGAATTCATGGAGCACAACACATCCTGTGGCCAGGACTGCTGCAGATTTACCTTCTCATTGCCAACTCCCACCCCAGCCTGTTCCCGATCACAGGGAGAAATCCGGGAATCAGGGACCGGGGAGGGTCAGAGCTCCACGTCTCTCCATGGTTTTCTCCCCCATGGCTCAGTTTCCAGAGGGAACTCCCTGTGCCAAGTGTGCGGGGACAACAACAGCCACGGCAACTACGCCTGCAACACGGCCACAATCCCACGGGGAACTGCGAGGTTAGGCCAAGGCAGGACTAGGCTCATCCTGAAGGAAAACACGGCCCTTGAGAACTCCAGTGCCGTGAGGAGTTGCTGAAGTAGCTCAGAGGCCTCCAGAACCTGGTGGCAATTCTGATTCTGAATTAGAGCTTTGGGTTTAAATCAGCTCCTTTTGCTCATGTGTTCTATTTAGGACAAACTCCTGGCCCTCGGCTGGCCACACAGAACCATGGGATCGGTTTGGGTTGGAAAGGACCTTAAAGATCATCTCACTCCAGGTGTGATCCTCCAAACAGCTGGATGGGGCATTTTCCGAGGCAAAACATTCCCTCAAGTTTTGCTGCTAAAAATAAATAGGATCATAAAGTTTTACAACCACCCCCAAAGTACTAAATTTGACACTTCAAAGGATGTAGGATGCTGGAAGTGCTCAGTGTTTTCCACCACAGCGAGGGGGAGAAATGCCCTTGAAATGCCCTTTCTGAGTTACTGTTTCAGTTACACACACAGAACAGTGAAGTAACTATTAATTCTGCTCATTAATCCCAATTATCTACTGCATAAATTAAAAATTTAACAAAAGAGAGGGCCAATGTTCAAGTTGGTAAAGCCCCCAACTTTGCAAACAGCAGAAGAGCCCAACTGAGTCAAAGTCCAAAAGGAGGGATTCGAAGTTTAGTATTTACTTGAAGCAAATATTTCACCACTTTTTCAAAGCCAAACAGAGCCACATCCATTTTAAATACTTAAAAGTGCAGTAGAACTAAAAATGCTGCATGTTGAGCTCCCAGTAGTAATCCTGAGGAGACACAGAGTTTGTATACATATATATATATATACATTTGTATGAATAAGGTCTTAGGGACCACATCTCCACATGCCCCTCCACTATCATGGGTGGAGACACACATAGTTTGTGTATATAGATTTATGTATACAAATTTATGTACATAAATATATATGTGTGTGCATGTGTATTAAATATGTGTGTATATATACACATATAATGGCACATAAACATACACACATATATAACTACATACATATTCATATATATTCATACATACACGTTCATATGTATGAAGTGTGTGTATATACACACACACACACATATATATATATATGAATAAGCTGTTATGGATCACATCCCAACATGCCCCTCCCCTGCCATCAGTGCAGACACATGCTGTGTATATATAACATACACATATATACATATAATGGATATATATTTACATACAACATCATGTATATGCATACAATGGCTTATTCATGTATATATGTATACATATATGGATCAATAAGGCGTGTCCACACAGCCCTCCACTGCCATTAATGCAGACCCACGTATGTATACACACATACAACAGCTATATATATGTGTGTACACACACATATAACTGCATATATTTGCATATAATGACTTATTCATAGATAGACAGATAGACAGATCGATCGATCGATCGATCGATCCATGGGTGCAGGGATGCCGTGAGGGGATGCCGTGAGGGGATGCCATGAGGGGATACCGTGAGGGGATGCCGTGAGGGGATGCCGTGAGGGGATGCCGTGAGGGGATAGGGGATGCCGTGAGGGCCAAGCCGTGAGGGGATGCCGTGAGGGCCAAGCCGTGAGCGGGATGCCATGAGGGCCAAGACGTGAGGGGGGTGCCGTGAGGGGATGCCATGAGGGCCATGCCGTGATGGCCACGTCGTGAGGGGACACCGTGAGGGCCAAGCCGTGAGGGGATGCCGTGAGGGGATGCCACGAGGGCCATGCCGTGAGGGGATGCCGTGAGGGGATACCATGAGGGCCATGCCGTGAGGGGATGCCGTGAGGGGATGCCGTGAGGGGATACCATGAGGGCCATGCCGTGAGGGGATGCCGTGAGGGGATGCCATGAGGGCCATGCCGTGATGGCCACGCCGTGAGGGGATGCCGTGAGGGCCAAGCCGTGAGGGGATGCCGTGAGGGGATGCCATGAGGGGATGCCGTGAGGGCCATGCCGTGAGGGGATGCCATGAGGGCCATGCCGTGAGGGGATGCCGTGAGGGGATGCCATGAGGGCCATGCCGTGATGGCCACGCCGTGAGGGGATGCCGTGAGGGCCAAGCCGTGAGGGGATGCCGTGAGGGGATGCCGTGAGGGGATGCCATGAGGGCCATGCCGTGATGGCCACGCCGTGAGGGGATGCCGTGAGGGCCAAGCCGTGAGGGGATGCCGTGAGGGGATGCCATGAGGGGATGCCGTGAGGGCCATGCCGTGATGGCCACGCCGTGCGGGCCGTCCCGCCCTCCCTGTCCCGGCGCGGGCTCCCCCGGCCCCGCTCGCCCCCAGCGCGGCCCGGGGAGGGCGAAGGGCAGCGGCACCCACAGCCCCCGAGGGAGCCGCGGCCCCGGCGCGGCGGCGGCATCACTTACTGCGCTCCAAGGGCACTCAGGAACGGGGAGCCATGGCCCGCCCGCCGGGAACTACAGCACCCGGCGAGCGCCGCGGCGCCGGGGAGGAGCGAGGGAGGGCGGGCCGGGCCGGCCCCGGGACACCCGGCTGCCCGTGCCGCAAAAACCGCTCACCGAGGCCGGGGGACGCGGCCGGTGGCACTCGTGGGCCTGCAGGGTGCTGGGTTTATTTTCCCCATCAGCAGAGTCGCCTCAGAGGGTGATGCTCTGGGAGGGCTGTGCAAAGATGGGTTTTGTCTCGGATTTTGTCTCTGTATCCCTTTAAATACCGCATAGGAGCGACTCCTTAGTCTGTCCGACACTGAACTTTCTGCTTAATGAACCCAAAAAGTATTGGGCAACGTTTAGTCCAATTTAGCGTTACGATTGTGCAACAATACCGTTAATAAAAGCAGATTTGATCCATAGTTCTCCCTTGAAGAGCTATAATGTGAAAACCTCCTTGTTCTTTATATATTATTAAATAAGGTTTAATAAATATTTTTGCATATTTAAGCACACCTCAGACTCTTGTTTCAAAGGGAACAGTCACATGAATAAAGGCTCTAAGTAGGATTGATGACTGCTTTTAGTGAAGCCCCATAATGCTACAAATTGAACATTAACTGCAACAAATTGGTCCTGACAAGATGAAAGTAAAATATTTAATTAGTGTGAAAACCGCCTGACACTGAAAAGTGTTTAAATAAAGGGAGTTTATTGAGCAGGCAGATACAGGAGGGCAAGAACAGTTATTTTCCTGTGGGGCTGTGGATCCTCATGTGCATGAGGAGGAACTTTTTGGAGTTAGCATCTTATGTTCATTTTTAGGAGTCAGAAGGAAACATGCAGCACACACTAAGATCCTTCTCTGGCCTTTTTTTGCCATCTTCATGATTTTCCTCATGTAGATCATTTGCATGTGTAGGCCATTTGCATCAGAGGAATCTAAATATGTCTGAAATTGTCCAAGTGAAACACTTCCAGTCTTTAGTTCATTAATACTAAAAATTACTTACAATATTCTGCTAGTAAATCTAAAATATATCAGTGTTGGCATGGCATGAACAGGCAAAAGGACTTCTTAACAAATCTGGTTTCTATTTTAAATGTAATAAACCACGTGTGACATAAAAGTAAACAAATTGATCCAAGTCTCTGATCCGTTATTTTTCCAAAGTCAATATTAAGGCAGAGCAGCAGAACACGGTGAAGAATTATGTGGCTTTTAAAGGGCCTTGAAAGTGATTAGCAAACGATATTGGAGGCTGACGTTGGAAATAGAGACCCCAGCAGCAATTAAAGGGTCTTGAAAGTGATTATTAAAAATTATTGGAGGCTGATGTTGGAAATAAAGACCCCAGCAGCAATGAAATAGTTATATCAGGATGGTTTGAGTTAGAAGGGACCTGATCACCATGGGCAGGGATGCCACTCAGGTTTTGTGGTGTTTTGCATTTATTTCAGGTCAACTAAGCCCCCTAAGTTCCTACTCCAGAAACCGTGTGTGGGAAGAGTCTTCTACCCGTAGGATTATTCACTTTTACAGGACTGAGGCTCTTTATACACAGATATAACTAAGAACTATTTCCAGGCAGCACTGAGGGGTTCCTCGGGGTGGTTGTTCTCCGGACAAACTCATTTCGCCGCGCTCCAGCACCTCCGGAGAAGCCCCGTCTTCGCAGGCGGGCAAAAGGCGCACTTTATTTCCCCCCCCCCCTCCGGTTTTCCCCCTTTGTTCCTTTAATTTTCGCGGCCCCGGCGCCAGCCCCCGGAGCACATGTGCGTGTCACCGCCGGGCCGAGGGGGAGGGAGCGGGCGGGCGGGCGCCTCTCGCATGGAGCCGGGGCTGAGGGCCCCGCGGTGATGCAGCAGCAGCGGCGGCAGCACCGCCCGCGTGCGGGCACGGCCCCCTGAGCGCCGCCGCCCGCCCGGAGCACACGCGGGGCTCGGCCCCGCTCCACGGGCACCGATGGCATCGCTGCCGCCCGCACCCGCCGCCGCCGCGCCTCAGCCCGCCATGGCACAGGCCGGGTGAGTGGCGGCCGCCGCGAGGGGACGGGCCGGGCCGGGCGGGGGGTGTGCGGGACCCGGCACCGGCGAGCGGCGGCCGCCGCGGCGCCTTTCGTTGCCCGCCGCGGGGCCGCGGGGGCTCGGCCGCGCCGTACGGGGCGCGAGAGGGGCCGCGAGCGGCGGCGGCGGCGGGGGGGCCGTGTGTGTGTGCGCGGGGAAGGGTCTGTGCGGGGCGGGCGCGGAGCGCTGGGGAGTGCGTTAGACTGGTTTAAGCGGGGCGCTGGGACGCGCTCGGCGCGGTTCTGTCGCGGCTCTGCCGAGGGCGGCGGGCGCGCAGCGCGGGGGGGGGGGGGGGCGGCGGGAGCGCCACAACATGGCGGCGGCGGCTGAGGGGACACGAGACCTTCTTCCCCCCCCGCCGGAACCCGCCGCCGCTCTATGGCCCCCGCGCCGCGCTAGAGCGGCCGCCCGCGGCCCCGCGCCGCATCGCCCAATGGCGAGAGCGCTTACAGCGAGCGCAGCCAATTGCGAGGCGGCTTACAGCGGGGACGTCAGCGCGCGCCCGCGGGCGCGGTGCACTGTGGGATGCTGGAGGCCTCGCGTCCGGGCAGGAAGGAAGGGGGGGTGTCATGGCGACCAATATCGAGGAGATCCTTCGGTCCTTTGTGGTCAGCAAATTCCGGGAGATCCAGGGCGAGCAGCAGCAGCAGCACGGCGGGTAACGGGGCGGCGGGGGGCGCCGGGGAAGGGCGCGGGGCGGTGGGGGGCCAGCCGCGGCCTGAGGGCCGTGTGTCGGCGGCAACATGGCGGGGCCGGGGGGGCCGCGGCCGAGCGGGCGCCGTGAGGGAGGCACGGCCCGAGGAGGAGGAGGGACTGTGAGGGGACCCGCACAGCCGGGTCCGCACGGGTCCGGTGCTACCCTCCCGGCGGGACGGCCGCCCGTGCGGTTTGTCCCACTTGCGGCTGAGCTCGCCGGGTTTATCGCGTGAAACAAGGAAAAGCTTGGGAAGAGCGAGGAAAAGCTGTAGAGAGCGAGATGTGGGTATTTGTGTGATGGAGGGAGGCCCTGCAAGGTCGTACGAGCTCGGGGGATGTGGCACATTCTAGACGTGGTTTTCGCTATCCTTGCGTACTCGCAGCGTGCCCGGGGTGGATCAGGGAGAGTTAATCCAAAAGCGGAGCTTCTCCGGGAGGCTGGAGCACTGCTTTGAGGGGCTGGGTGTAATAAATGTGTGCGAGTGACCAAAAAGCGGCTCCAAATGGCCCGTACTGAGCTGCCGTTTCTCCCGGCAGTGGGAATGTGGAAGCCCAGCCCAACGGGGACACGGCCCCGGCAGAGCCAGCCCAGCCTTCCGACGCCTCTGGAGCTGCCGGGAGCTGTGCTGGCGATCAGATGGTGCAGAAGATCGAGGAAGTGCTCTCGGGAGCCCTCGGGACGGAGCTGCAGAGCAACCCAGGTAAGGGAACCGCCGCTGGCAAAATCGTCGTGGTGGTGCCTCAAATAGAATCCGGTGATAGAGATGGAAAAGCCCCTCTTGGTGCTGCTCCTCTGGCAGGTTGGGTGTTTGTTGCGAGTTTCTGAAATGCTTTATGTGTCTGCTCTGATTTGCAGCCGTAGAAATGCATCATTTAAAAATTAAAGTGGTTGTTACGTGAAAGTTGCGTTACTCGATGTGGGAGAAAGGGGTTTTTCTTTTCGAGGCTGAAACATATGAAATGTTGTTATATTTAAGTATGATTTTCATCTATATTTACATAAACTGTTTTATTTTCTCTATACCTACTTCAGGGTCTCTCAGCAGTTCTTAGTAACAAAGCTGGTGCATATAGAAGCAGTTCCTGGTTTGAATTGGTTTTGGATTATTTCTAAAAGCCATTTAGTAGGATTCAGATCTGTGGTGAACTGTCAGACGACTTGTTTTAAAATAAACTTTTAAAGTGTGGATACACTGCAGTCTCTCAAAGTTGAAGAAATTTTCATGTGTCAGTGTCAGAACTTCAATGAATTGGTGGATTTATTGTGCCTGAAAGTCACATCTGAGAGTCCCCTCTCATGGGACTGGTCCTTGCTGTAAAATTTCTTACTCTGGAGAGTCAATGAGGTGCTGAAGGCTGTAATTATTGCATTTCCTATTTTTTGGAGTTGCCACCCAGATGGTGCAGTGTGCTGGGTGAGTACAGCTCTAGAGGGTTTTTTTATTAGGAGGCAGCACAGAAAACTGAAAATTTCAGAGATTCTGTTGGCAGAGGTTTGGAATTGCTCTTTATTTTCCTTTTATGCTCAGTGGCTTGTGCACCTTGAGCATTTTCGAGTGTTTTGATTCTTGCTGTACAAGCAGCACTTTAGGCTGAAATTGGGGGTTTTGGTAGTGTTTTTTATTTTTTGTTCTTTTGTGGAAGAATGAGGTGAGGTCACATGGTGATAAATGAGATCTGTTAACTTGGAAGTTCATAAACTCACTCTGTGGTAAATGTTCCCAATGTCCATATCTCAAAGGGGGTTGGACAAGAAAGATTATCTCAATCTAGAGAGATTATCTGAACCTAATGAATTATCTTTGCAGAAAAGGTCATTTTTAGAATCATGGAATATCCTGAGCTGGGAGGGACCCCCAAGGCTCATCCAGTCCAAGCCCTGGCCCTGCCCAGGACACCCCAACACTCCCCCCTGTCCCTCAGAGCGTTGTCCAAACCCTCCTGGAGCTCTGGCAGCCTTGGGGCCGTGCCCACTGCCCTGGGGAGCCTGGGCAGTGCCCACCACCCTCTGCGGGAAGAACCTTGTCCTGAGATCCACCCTGAGCCTGCCCTGTCCCAGCTCCAGCCCTTCCCTGGGTCCTGTCCCTGCTCCCAGAGGTCGGAGCTGCCCCTCGGGAGGAGCTGCAGCCCCCGCTGAGCTCTGCCCTGGGGCTCCTCTGCTCCAGCTGCTCCAGCCAAGTGCCCTCAGCTGCTCCTCAAGGGCCCCTCCAGACCCTTCCCTATCCTCATGTCCCTTGTTTGGACACTCTTTAAGAGCTTTAAAGCTTCCTTCCATTGTGTCCCCCCAGACTGCCCCAATGTT